ACCCCCACCCCAACCCCAATACTCAACTCCCCCGAGCTCCGCGTCCGCGGCGGGGAAAGCGGCACCGGCGTGGGCGCCTCCGGGACATAGCGCCGGGTGCGTGTCATGTTGCGGGCGCGGGCACGGGTGCGGCGGCTGGAGGTACTGCTGGTGGTGGCGGTGGGGAGGAGGGGGAGGCGTCTTGGGGATGATGAGGGTGATGATGATGTAGAGGAAGAGGGGGAGGGGTCATCGGTTGTGGTGGTGGTGGTGGTTGAGCCAGGGCTGGGTTTGGGGTGGATGGTGAAGGCTTTTGTGGTGGTGGTGGTGCTGGTGTTGCTGAGGCGTGGAGAGTGGGAGGTAAAGACTTTTGGAGAGAGACAGGGGAGGGTGAAGGGGCGGTGGGCGAGGTGGAGGACAGTGAGGATGATGCCGCTGAAGAGCAGGCCGGTGGCGCAGGCGAATATGTCGGTTTTGAGGTGCACCGTGGGAGTGCCGCCGCTGCCGCGATAGATGCCGACGGAGACGGGGATGCAGGCGCTGGCCCAGAGGGTGGCAGTTACGTGGATCGTGAGGTTTGCCCAGGCGTGGAGCTGGTGGCGGAAGGAGGGGATGGGATGGTCGAGGTAGAGGCTCTCTCCCTTGTGGCAGGCGGCGATGTGGAGGGGGATGTAGAAGAGGGACTGCGTGGACTGGTTGTAAGAGTTAGCGGACGTTTATGTCAACGAGTTCAAGAGGTCCGATCGACAGAAAACCCACAGCGAACATGACCAAGCTCTGCGCGATTCCTTGCCCAGGCCTTCTCAACATCTCACTGTTGCTAAACCCCACGGCGGATAGAGAAACGCCGATGATAGAGGCAACCGCAAGAGAAACCAGTGCCGCCAGAACCAGCTGGGGCAGAAATTGTGTTATGTGTGGTCCGCTAGAGCTCTGACTCTCCGTTTTGCTTTCCGGTTGGCTTTCGGTGTAAGTCGCTGAGGAGGGCATATCCGCCCACGGCCTAGAACCACAAGACAAGAGTATTGCCGCGTTGGAAAGTAGCACGCGGCGCAGATAATATGGGAAAGTAAATAATGCTGCGTACTCAATCAGGAAGCTAAGTCAAACACAAGAAGTAAACGAGCCATTGTCAACGATGTCAGGCGTGGTGAAAGGGGAGAGTGGGAGGGCATCATCCAGCTCGGACAGCCATGTCGCGCAAGTAAGAAATAAAAGAAATCCCCCGCCACCGTTATAAAGTGCATTCTTTAACATGGCGGGAAGTCCGGGGCCATCCAAGAGGCTGGGGTTCTGAGGCTCTAAGCAATGTGCAGACTGAGACATCAATGGATGGAATGCAAACTGGGGGAGAAACTAGACCGCCACGCGGAAACATGTTGATAACAATAGCTCCCTTCCAGGACTCTAATCAGAAGACAGAAACTTGCCAGAGTAGATAAACCAAGGTTTGCAAGGGACAAAATGTGATGATATGGCCGCAAAAGGCGGGGAATACATATCGTGTAGACAGTTTTCTACCAGGAACATAAAAGCTGACGAAACATTACAGCTCGCAACTTGCCACCAACCCCAGGCGCGGGCAAGGAAATCGCTAATAGTCCTCGCCCACCCTGGCGCTCTTATCACCGGCCCATCCCTCACGTTCAAAATAGCGAAAAACGAGATGATAGTCGTCAAACTCGTGGATGATGCGATCCATGCGGCGGTATCCCTTGATGCCGTCCATTCGCTTGTCAACACCGGCCCTGGCAGCCGGTTGAGGGACAGCCTCATCATCCGCCGTCTTATTCTTCGTTTCAAAAAAGGTCACGGTGAAGCGGCCGGGCTTGAAAATATCCACAACATGCTGGATGGTGTCCGAGGTTCGGCGTCCGTTCTGGCCGCTCGGGACGTTGGTCTCGAATGACGCATACGAGCAAATCGGCTCCGGCGTCACATGGACCGTCCAGTAATGCGCAGGCTTGTTGTCGTTCGCCTCTGCGCCGGCGTCGGGAGCAGGAACGACGCCGTTGGCCGAATAGCCGCAGGGCGAAAACAGGTAGGCATCGATGCGCGCATCCGGGTAGTGCGAGGTAGGATACACCTGAGCAAGGCCGCAAGTGTCGGAAACGACGGTGCCAAGAGCATGGCCCTCGGTGGTCATGGCCTCGCCGGCAGTCACATCGATCTCGGCGCCCTGACCTCCCGCGAGGTCAGACTCTCCGCAATTCTCGAAAACATCGACAGTCGAATCGATGTCTCCCAGGCTACCGAGGGCGGCACGACGGGCCTCCTGAGCCTGGGCAGGCACCTGCTTGCTAGCGACCGCACTCGCCTGCTCCAGGTAGAACTGCTTCGCAAGCTCAGGATCAAGATCCATCATCAGGACCTCTAGGGTCTCATCGGCGGGGGCATCACCAGCTCCGGACACATGCGGCACAATGCCGGTCGGGATCTTGCGGGTGCGAGTCGGGCTGCTGGTGTTGCTCGAGCGTGGGGTCAAAGGCGGTGTCAAGGCGGAACTGGTGGGGGTCGTCATGTACAGATACCAATGATCGGCGTTCATCCTTCCAACCATGTAGGCGCTGCCGTTCTCGAACGTATCGTCCAGGAACTTGACCTCTTCCTTCCAGCTCGTGTGGGGACCCTGCTGGCGGTCGGGGAAGAGGAAGTTCTTGCGGCTGTAAAAGACGCGGTGCGGGGTGGCAGCGACATTGATGTCCTCAGTCGAAGCCGCGTTGTGGAAAGGGAAACCAGCATCCACAGCAGCGATACGCAAAAGGCGACGCAGGCCCAGTAGCAACGTGGTCGTGCCGCACGTCTTAAGAATGAGTTTGTGCGGGAAGACGAACATGCTGGACTCGGAGAGGAGGTACGCGTCAACGTGGTCCGACTTGACGATCGAGAGGACCTTGCAGTTGACCATGTCAAGCATGCCCTCCCAAGTCGACGGGCTCACACCCTTTAACCCATTGTCCCTGGCGGTTGGGGGGAGCGCGGTCGGGCTCGGGGCGAACCAGACCTCGAGGAGCTTCTCGGGACCCTCGAAGGCATTGGTCGAGTCGAGATCGGCGGCGATATCGTGGTTGATTGTCAACTGGAGGCTCCCGGGAGCAGGGGAGAACGTATAGTTGTCGGGGATCTCAAGGTTGACCATCGTTGATCGCAGAACGATGCTGAACGTGCCGTCTGTTACGAAAGCGTCCGCGGGACACTAGCTGCCGCTCAAACGAACCTTGCGGCGTCCGTTTGAGAGAGTAGGCCCACAGGAAGTGGTGTCCTCGGGGATGCTGGCGGAGCCAGCTACAGTGTGCAAATGTGAAAGTCGAACGTCGCCAGGGGGACGTTAGGGAGGTCGGCCACGGACGGTGTAGTGGAAAAACTTGGCGAACGGTATGTTGGGCTTCCTTCTCGAGTGGGCCGTCTGGGCCGATACTTTCGTGGTGTTCGGAGTGCGGTGTCGAGGCAGAACGGGACCAGTGGTCGTTGTCTAAGGCTATTCGGTGAAGCTGATTGTTTGGCGGGTGCTATCTAGGCCTAGGAAGAGGGGAGTTAGTAACACGAGCATGGCATGTGTCCCGGAGACGCACTTTGCTGGCTTGGAGAGGAATCGCAGGAGATCAATCGCGGTCATTGGCCGGCAAGAGAACCTGTTGGAGCGAGGTCCTGGTGGAATGCACAAGGAACAGCGCGATCGAAAAAGCGGTTCTCACGAGGTGCTCAGCATGGCAGAGTCGGGTCTTCTCTCGGTGCGGGCTTTTGGAAAGCCGGTTGGGTCGTGGATGGGCTTTGCGACACAATGATCCTTGGAAACGCACCTCGCTTGGGGGTTTGATTGGAGTCTATTCGTTACCCGTGGAGGTGGCAACGTTATCCAATACAAAGTAAATGTTATGTCCCTCGAGAAATACAATTGGTGAACAAAACAACACAATATTGTGCTTCTGTGATAGTATCCTGTTTTTTTCTCAAGTGTTCGATCAAATCTGGGAGGTTTGGCGGGGCAGGAAAAACCCTCGCCAAGGAATCGCGGGGTTTTCTGATTCGTCCCACATCCAAGGTTTCAGGGGATCTGTGATACGCGCAACCCAACATCCTGGCTGATCGTCCATGACCGAGAGCTTCAGGGTTTCTTATATGTATATGCTCTGCGTTCAAGTATCTCAACCTAGTTTGCTCCAGGGTTGGGTAAGAGCAACAGTAAACGGCGGTATGTAAATCATCTTGGTTGGTTTTGTGCTCTCGTGCTGTATAATTCTTGTTCGCACTCGGCTCAGGTACCGAAGAGACCAACAGGGCTCAGGGATGCATGCAGGGCTAGCGGCCCCACAATCCCTGTGCTCTTCTCGGACTTCCCATGAATACCTTAATTAATCCCATGAATCCCATGAATGCCTTAATTAAGATCACGAATTGCATGAGAGTCACGGTCCGGGTCGAAAATTGAGAATGGACTTACTGACACATCTGGGCAACTCTGAACGGGTCGGTGTAACCGCAAAGCAACGACCATTACCGGGGACGGAAGGGGAGCGAGCGTCAGACAACCTGGGCATTCATGGAGATTACTTCGTACCCTTGGCGCTTTACCCATATAAGACCACGTATGTATAGCGTCTGCGATTCCAAGATGGATACTTCGTTGGATTTCTAGTTGTGTGGGACCCGGAATTGGTAGGATAAGTACGTCACGAACTTGTCCCTATTGGAGCTGACCGAAGACCGGGACACAAACAACATTTGGAAGATGGCGCTCGTAAACATATATCCCTAGGTACCTTATGCATGCATCCCTTGAGGCCCCGCCAGACAAAGACCAAATGCTTATCAGAAGTCTACACACAGCTTTTCTGTGCGTTAACCTTCTTAGGGTGATATTGACATCATCTTGATACAACGCATACGATATCAAATCTGCGCTTGGAGTTGTCACGAACTGCGCGGAATTCTTGGCAGTCGCGGAACTTTTGTGCACGATCGTACTCTGCTAGGGACAGATTTCTCTCTTTCTGAGCCCGGACAATGTCTTCCAAAGTAACAGCCTCCATGTCCGTCAGTAAGGCCTTGTGGCTTTGCAGGTGTTCTCGAACTTTGTCAACCTTGGCGCGAACTAGAACGGCTCGAGTCGCAGATGATTATCAATCCTGGGCAATCGACTTTCGAGTCATAATGAATCAGGGGTGAGACCTAACTGTGCGGTTTTCTTTGTCGCAAATTAGCAGAAACAACCTGGCTGAGGTCCATTGTTACCAGTTATGAGTGTCGAGAACAATTTACCGTTCTTTGGGGTTTTTCATTCTTTTGGGCTTCTGGTTCTAGAGGCACAGCTCATCAGTAACTGGGTAGATATGATTCTACTGACTCTCGGGAGTTTGTCGTCTAGCGCAGCGGGATATTGCTGCGTATATAAAGATGAGCACAGAACAGCAAGGGGCATCCACCGGACACTCCGGCATCCCAATTCGAGTCATCCCAAACTTCAAGCTGCTCTTCGGACAGGACAGGCACCATGGCCGAACGCCCAACGCTCCCGTACTATGTCCCCCAAGAGCAACTCCCGGCCCCGTTACCCTCCGTAGCTGAGATTCTCGCCTCGACAAACTACATGGTACGGTACGAGGCGGCTCCGATCGTCCGTGTTGGTGAGCATTATGTTGTGAAGTACGGAAAGAAGGTCAGCCTCCAGGAGGGCGAGAACATGCTCTTCGTTCGACAGTTTTCTCACATCCCCGTTCCGACAGTCTATGCATTGTTTTATGACGAGGAGACTGACAAGAACTTCATTGTTCAGGAGTATATCCCTGGAAAGCTCCTCCATGTGCTATGGGATACCCTTTCCTACAAGGAGAAGAAGAATATCTCTCTACAACTCCGGCAACATGTGGACGAGTTACGCTGTATCCCATCTCCGGGCTATTATGGGGGCATTTGGGGACAGCCGGCGCTTGATTACAACTTCAGGGGCGTGGAGCCGCAGTTTACGGCGGCACAGAGAACTGAGGAATTTTGGGCCTTCGGCTTGTGGCGCGGCCTGGGGCTAAAATTGAAGGACTGGTCCGAGCCCCGGGTCGCGCGGATGTTGTCCCCCGTCTGGGGCTTCTATCAGAGCTTTTTCCGCGGCCACGCTTCGGTATTCACGCACGGAAACCTTTTCCCAGGAACCATCATGATCAACAACAAGACCGGGGCTGTAGTGATCATCGGCTGGGAGCTGTCGGGGTGGTACCCTTCATTCTGGGAGTATACCTCCGCTATGTTGCTGTCTCCGTACCACCATGACTGGGATTGGTGGATCCCGGTGATCCTCGACGAGTTTCACGCCGAGTTTACTTGCATGTGGGAGCATCAGCGACTGACATTGCAATCTTGACGAGAGAGGTTTGGCGTCGCGGCAAGGTGGAAGTGGGTCTAGTTATTTCTTTCTTTCTTCTTTTGTCGAGGTGGTGGTAGTGGGGTATATGAGCACCGTTCTGACAGGTCTCCCAACGGGAGCCGGTTTTCGTTTTGAGATCTGCGATATTTTCTTTTCTCTGGTCCCCGTCATTCGTCAATCTCAAAGGGTGCATCCCGTTACAAAACTCCCAAACTTCACCTAGGCATTGAGCCATGTTTTAGATTGAATTGAATAGTTAACCAAAATCGAACGCACTAATTCCTCACTACCTTATCTTGACTTGATATTCTCATTGTTACCTTGGTTAATTTGAATTATTCTCATAAACGCTTTCCATGGTTCCATTTCCTCCCGGAGCTGCGGAAACAAATCCATCACATCCTTGCGTCTCACTAACACATGGAGTGTGTCTGCTGCGCGCGTGGGTAAATTTTCTTTAGTTGTTAGGTTGTATATCCGGTCCGCTGGCTGAAATTGCTATCAAGCTGGACCACTAAGTTGTCTCTCATGCCACGATGTGCTCGCACGACACCCCTCATTACGAAGCGGCGCAAAGTGATGCTCCATGTGCATTGTGATCGCTACCTTGTAACATCGGCAATGATATCGGCCGTGATAGGACCAAAAATGGGGGCAAGAGAGCAACTCTTGTACTTATAGACCAGGAGCCGGGAATCCCGCGTCTCGTCACCGTTAGCAGCGACTTGAGTTGCTGAAGAAATATCCTGCCCATTGACCGAGGTCCCTTCTGGATACCGCGGACTTTTCCCAGTCTCGATGAGCACCAAAAACTGAGGGTCGATAGGGATGCGCCCCAGGAACCGGACGTTGAAGTCCTTCGCCATAACCTCCCCGCCACCGCTCATAAAAATGTTTGTGCACTCGCTGCAGTTGGGGCACACAAACCCGCTCATGTTCTCGACGACGCCGAGCACGCGGATCCCCGTCTTGGTGCAGAAATTGAGCTCCTTCCTGACATCAGCCGTGGCCACGGCCTGGGGCGTCGTCACGACCACTGCCCCAGCGAGCTGTTCTGGATGTGCCTTCTGCAGGAGCGTCTCGGCTAACGATATGTGTTCGTCGCTCGTCCCCGGCGGCGTGTCAATCAAAAGGTAGTCGAGTTCATCCCAGAACACGTCTGACAGGAACTGCCGCACCATCGCTGTCTTTTTGGGCCCGCGCCATACGACGGCGTCGCCTCGTCGGGGGAGGAGGAACCCAAGGCTCATGACTCGAAGTGAGCCGATACCTGTGGATGGGTCGGCTTCGTGTACGGTGATGGGCAGCCATCCGCCTGGGGCTTGTGTAACTTTCGCGTCTTCGATCCCAAACATGCGCGGTATTGAGGGTCCGGTGAGGTCGACATCTAGGACACCAACGGAGTGACCTGCTTGAGAAAGCGATAATGCCAGTTGCGTTGTTACCGAGGACTTGCCGACGCCTCCTTTGCCTGAGAGCACCTGGGCGGGTTGGTTAGAATATTACTGACAGGAGCTGGACGAAGGTGGGGCAAAGGAGTCCTCACCAGAACGATGTGCTTGACTTTGGAGAGCGACATGGTGACGTGTAGCTTCTCGGATAGCGAGTCGGCGGGTTGATGTTCAAAGTATTTGGAAACAGTATCCCTTCCCTCAAGGTGGTTGCGTGTTTCCCATCGTAAATATGATCATCCCACGGGATGGCAATCTCGTTCTTTTTTGTTCGAAGCTGAGCAATTGGCCCCTCCATCGGCCTGTATCGGCGTGCTTTATCAGCAGGTGGACCTGCAGCCACATCCCGTCAATGATGCGAGCTAAAAAGTGCCACAGAAGTCGGATGTTGACGGCATGCTTGGAGGAAGGTTCCGACTTTGTATACAACAATAAAACAAATCTGATAAACCCCCGAGATGCGGAACGTCGGCATATTTTCGTACCGTACTCGTTCGTTGTAAAGTCATGTGAAACCCTCCGGTAAACGCCCAAGATCTAGACCTCCCTATCCCGGCTCCCGCCTGCCAAGGCTCGATACCTTCCGCTGACTTGCAGGGCTGCCGGCCGTCCAGGGGCTTGGTCCCACTTTACACTAAATTGTGCACTGTCCAAATAATCCAGATGTGGGCGCCATACGAAGCCAGTCGCATTCATTGTCTTATGGTGCAAGCCCCAGTTGGTCTCTCGCGACTTTATTTTGATCCTGAAGCAGCGGTAATGCTTGCTTTTTAGAACCCACGCGATTCTTGGTCTGGCGCCGAGTTGTAAGTCTTTGTGGACATTGGTGAGGTTTACAGAAAGTCGTTCTCGGTTTATATCCTTATTTTGACATTGTGCCGTCTTGGCCCGCTCGCATTTGATCGAATCCGTCGAACGGCTCCCCCGATGCAGCAGAGCGGCAGACCGCGCGTCGAAAGCCAACGTCATCTCCCCTATTTCTCTACGGCACCCAAACGATACCAAACCGCTTGCCTCGCTAGAGGAAAACATCCCCAATTAGCCGCCCCTGTACCGGCCGACCTCTTCCCCCGAACGATGCCGAGCGGTTTCAGAGACGAGCTCTCGCCCGCAACATGACAATCGTTGCGATACACAATGGACGATCCATGGGGCTCACCATGGGCCGCAACAGATCCAGACAGAGACTTGAAGCCGGGCTCGCCCGCCAAGTCCGACATTGCTCCTCCACCACGCGCCTTCCTCTCCGCGTCGAGCTCTCCTCGCATTCCCGCCGTTTCAGAACAATCTCCTTGGGGAGGTGACGATAATGGATCTGGGGAATGGACAGCCGCGGCAGAGACGCCAGCGCACTCGATATGGGCCGGAGGTTGGGGGGGGTTCGAATCCGAACCTACTGGCACCCCCCACGAGACGACCTGCTCAACAAAATTAGTCCGATCGCATTGCCGGGGAACATCGCTACTCCAAAGCCAGCCAATGGCTCTGTGTTTCACAATTATTGCCGGACCCGTGGGGCAGTGGTTCTTTTTGGAAGACCTTGGTTTGAATTTGCCTCCACCCCGCGTTTGTTACCAAATCCGCCTCCCCAATCGACATGCCTATTATTTCCTTGGGGCGTTGGGGATCGAACATCAGGTTGCTGTATGGGATAAGTCGGATACCGCAAGTATTGGCAACCCGGAAATCATGAGAGAATCCGATTTTGTTGCGGCCGGGTCGGGGGAAACCAACGGAGTGAACAGACCACACCTGTGGCGGCCCCGGGTAGTGATGTGCGGTTGAGCGTTGAGTCGACCACGCCCAATCGCGGGTACCAGTCCCCCACGCCGTCCAATGACAACACCGATCACGAAGACGAACGACAGGACTCGCCGATTACGTCCATTGACGAGGAGCCAAGGGGTCTGTCAGCGGCTTCGCGAAAAGCATCTGTAAAAGGGCAAGAGCTTGTCGTCAAGTTTGATGGCATTGCGAGGGCAGCGAGCGAAGAACGTGGCCTCGTTATCGTGCCCACCAACACCAGCTCCTCCGCCGCACAGAAAGGAGATGGTTTAAGTGACGCCGCCGATTTCGGAAAGTTCGAGGATGTCAACGCAGACGGACCGTCTCCCCCGTCGCCCTCCATACCGAAAGTTGAACCGACCGCTGAAGAGCCAACTTCAGCTGACGCACCTGAACCGCTGTCGCCCTCATTGTCCGATAATTTTTCCTCGGGTCCCTCAGCGATTTCCCAATTTGGACCCATCCATTTTGGTGTGGATTTTGGCTTGGTCGCCAAGTTGTTCAATACCCCTGTGGGAGCCGCTTCCGATCACGATGTGGATCACGAAGTGCCAGATCATTTTATTGAAGATAGTTTCACCACGATTTCGGAGCGAAAAACTTGGTATCGCATTTCCCGGTTGGGGTCCTCGCGGAGGCATAATGCCGGAGACGACGACAGCTACAGGAGGGTCGCCTGGGGAACATCTGTGGTTCACGACGACACCATCAAGATCGTCCGCCGGTGGATGGAAGAAGACTCCATTGCTGGACGTGTGGCTCTCGGGGGTGGGATATCTAAAACTCAGAAGAACATGTTTGGTTGGGATTCATCTGTCGAGCCGGTCACCCTGGATGATGTGTTTAGAAAGAAGAGCCCACACTCTAGGGCTTTTTCGGTCCAGCAGCCCCCCCGAGCAGCCGGTCTTTCTCTGCACCTCGCGGATGGGCCGTCGAAAAGGGCGCCACAACGACCGGCACACCACGCTTCAAATAGTGCCGGACCAGGTGTACCTTCATTCGGTTGGAACACAACCTCACCAACAACCACTACCCACACGCGTTCCATCAGCGTGATGTCTGTCCCACCCACTACGAATCTCGCAGGCCCAACAGCCCAAATCCACCCCGCCGCTCAAGGGGCCTGGGTCCCCGATGTTGCCGCCGCCGCCGATAACGACGACGAGGATGACGATGAATGGGGCGAGATGGTGTCTTCACCTGTTGCTGCCTCTCAACCCCAACCTATACCAGTCCGCTCAGTAACCCATATACCTGCCGGCGGATCCACCCCGGCTGCATCCGTACCCCAGCATACCAAAATTGTTAATCACACGCCCGCCGCCAAGGACACGACACAAAACCCCTTGGACAAAGCTGACGTCTCGGCCTTTGAGTCAACTCTCGCCAAGTCGGGGCCCCAAGTTCAAGCATTAGACACTATACCGGAACTCGTGGACCATTCAACTCCTGGTCCTACTTCGGATAACTCCGCGTCTGCTCGCCTGATGGCGACGACTACAAACAACCCCCCAGTATCCTCAACATCCATCACGACACAGCTGCCCCCAACCAGCGATCCGCAACATGAGCATGAGAAAACGGCACAATGGATCATTGCCAATCTCCCTGATCTCTCGTACATGCTACGTTAAGTAGTCGTGTGGCATCTCACAAACAGTGCACAGGAGCCCTATCACATCCGTTTAAAGCCGGCGGCGGATGCTGTACCTATTTTTTGTGTATGCTACCCGTATTACCATGTGTTCATCTTATCAAATATCATTTCCAGTGGTTGAGAGTATCAGCACGCGACATTTTACCAGCCTAAGTCTGGGGCCCCAATTTTGACATGCTTGATGCGGCGTATTCGTGGCAAACATGGGTCAATCTTCAACCCTAAACCGACAACACGTTTCCCCAGCCGAGGACACGCTCCGGTTCGCTCGCCCGCTTTTTTTTTCGAGCGCTCCTGGACATCCACACACGGCCCGAAGGGATGCCACACTCGGGATACCGCCCCTCTTGGTCCTCGTTCGGAGTCGCGAGAAGCGCGAACAGCTCCGACAAATAAAACGCTAGGCTCGGCCGTCGCCGTCTCCGCCCTTCTGCCGCTCCAAGCTGCCGGTGACCGTAGGCCCCGCATCCCCGCCATTTTGGGGTGGCGCCCCGTCAGCCAAGAGATCAGAGTCGACCCCAGGCCCCGCGGAATCCGGGGCTTAGGCGTATCAGAGGCCGCAGATTTCGAAGCCGAAACTGCTGCCGGAAACGTGGACGATCACCGCGTTTTCCTGACTCTCACCGCGAGACTCTGGTTCGGCCTTGGTAGAGCCACCAACAACTGGAACATACCCACGGATAGGAGGCGGGTATCACATGCGTGACCAAAACCCGAAGTGGCGGTTGGATCAAGTTCATATAAACCCCTGAGATCTCGGATTATTCTTTCTTGTCTTGGTTTGCTTAATGCTGCGAAACTCAATATGGCCCTGATCAACTTCATCCTCTCACCGTGGGCACCAGCCGCCCTGCTGGTTGCCGCCGTGGTGTATTATGTTTATCCGTATTTTGTCACTTACCGGCATCTGAAGCACATTCCGGCGCCGTTCCCTGCCCAGTTCTCAAACTGGTGGCTACTTTTAGTTGCCCGCCGAGGTGACAGGTACGACACGGTCGACAAACTGCACAAGAAGTTGGGCCCAGTTGTGCGTATTCAGCCGAACCATGTCAGCCTCTGCAACGACGAGGCTATCCAAATCGTCTACGGCCACGGCAATGGTTTCCTGAAAGCGTGGGTTTGATCTGCCTGGCGAAGGGCGGCATAGGTACTGACAAGCCCCCAGGGACTTCTACGATGCCTTCGTCAGCATCCAGCGAGGCCTCTTCAACACGCGGGACCGCGCCGAGCACACGCGCAAGCGCAAGATCGTATCCCACACCTTCTCTGTCAAATCGGTGGCCCAGTTCGAGCCCTACATCCACAGCAACCTCGAGCTCTTCGTCCGCCAACTGGACAACCTCATCTTGCGCTCGAATCACCCTGACGGCGCAGCCCACCTCGACTGCCTCAACTGGTTCAACTACCTCGCGTTTGACGTCATCGGTGATCTCGCCTTCGGTGCGCCATTCGGTATGCTGTCCTCTGGCGCCGACATGGCTGAAGTCCGTGCTTCCCCGGACAGCCCTCCGATCTACTTGTCGGCCATCGAGATCCTCAACCGCCGCGGCGAAGTCTCCGCAGCGCTCGGCAGCCTTCCCGCCCTCAAGCCCTTCGCCAAATACTTCCCCGACCCCTTCTTCACCCAGGGCCTCCAAGCGGTCGAGAACCTCGCGGGCATGGCCATCGCGCGCGTCAAGTCCCGCCTCGAAAACCCCCCTCCCGCCGAACGCAAGGACCTCCTCCAGCGACTGATCGACGGCCGCGACGAAAAGGGCGAACCTCTCGGACGACAAGAACTCACCGCCGAAGCACTCACCCAGCTCATTGCCGGCAGCGACACGACATCCAACTCCTCCTGCGCGCTGCTCTTCCACGCGGTGCGCACACCGGGCGTGATCCAAAAACTGCAAGCCGAGCTCGACGCGGCGCTGCCCGCCGACCTCGACGTGCCGACCTTCGACATGGTGCGCGACCTGCCCTACCTATCGGCCGTCGTCAACGAGACGCTGCGCTTCCACTCGACGTCAGGCATCGGCCTGCCGCGGCAGATCCCGCACGACGCGCCGGGCATCCACTACGAGGGCCACTACTTCCCGCCCGGCACCGTCCTCAGCGTGCCGACCTACTCGATCCACCACTCCAAGGAGATCTGGGGCCCCGACGCGGACGAGTTCAAGCCCGAGCGCTGGGAGAAGCTGACGCCAAGGCAGAAGAACGCGTTTATCCCGTTTAGCTATGGTTCGCGCGCCTGCGTGGGCAGGAATGTGGCCGAGATGGAGATGAAGCTGATTGTGGCCACGTGGTCGCGCCGGTACCATGTGACCTTGAGGCAGGATTATATGGATACGAAGGAGGGGTTCTTGCGGAAGCCGTTGGGCTTGGAGATATCGCTGAAGAGGCGGTTGTGAGAGGGGGGATGATGTCCACGGTGGGTTCCGTCCTGAGTACGGGATACCCTGGCAAAGACCGGTCTCGTTCTCAACACCACACCTCAAGGGCAACGGTTGTGTATCGCCCGCTGTGAACCAGTTGGGCATTGTATATATTTTTACTGTATGTTTGTATATGACTCTTATGTATGAATCTCGTTTGCGATTTCGCGTCGTTTTAGTTCCGTATCATGTACGAATCAATTGTTGCTACCTCGGTAACCAAATCACTTGTTGTCATCAGCGCGTATTGGGAAATTAACGGATATTTCCAACCACAAAGGAGAAGTCAAGGAATATGTTCTCTGGTTGCAACCTTGACTCAGAAACAAGTATGCCTGGTGCGTGCTACCACTTGGGACCGAGGTATGTAGTTGCTGTGCGGTCAATGCCCTGGCCACCCCTGAATCCTTGACTGCCCCGTATGCTTTGAGTCAAAGGAAACTCAACGCAGAAGCAAAGCTACCGTGATGTCAAACTTTACCCATCTACTGTCACTTTGGAAGGAGCTTTGTCCAGCTCCAATATTTGGCAATGATAATGTAGAACAGACGCGATCTTTCCGCCTTTATGACAACATGAAATGTCTCCGATTCTTCTCACATTCGCGCTGAACGCGACTCCTACATCACTGATACCCAACCACCCTCATCTCCCCAGCACTTCCATCGTTCCTCTCCAGGATCAGCGCAATGAATCAACTACTTAAGACGAAAAGTCACCTTGGCCGATTCGGCGTTCGTGCCTACACCTCTCGCAGGCCTCGACCTTGTATTCTCAACTTTAGCACAACTAACAAGTTGTCAAACCCGATTGATCGTGCGACCGCCGCTCGCGATTTTGTTGCCTTACTGACTCCCATCGCGAACGCGGAGCAAGAGCCAGTCTTACCCAAGCCGTCCGGCGGGGATGCTTCTTCCGTTCCCGACCGCCGCAAAGTCCTCTCCGCCATCGAGTCGCTGCTCCATACCCTGAATCCGGAGCAGCCGTTGTACGCTGCATTCCATGACGGCCTGGTACACGATCCGCTCGGCGGCGGTTCCTACGCCTTCCGGGATGACCTTATCAAACCTCTCCTGGAAGGCCTCATGCACGATGAAGCCCTCAATCTTGACGCGTATGCGGAAGCACGGCTGGCTGACAACATTCCGAGTCGCCCAATCGTCATCCACGCAGGAGCACAGCCCAACAACTCACCACACTGCGGCACTCTCATCGTCTTCTGCTATGCCTTCGCGGTGGCTCGAGCGATGCGGGACCGAATGCAGGCCATGGCCGCGCACAGTCGGGCTGTATTCCAGCCTCCTCCTGTCTCAGTCAACATAACCTTCGTCGACACGGCACCAGTCAAGGGAGAAGGACTCGAAATCGACGGAATCCACTACCAAAAGTCATACCGAGACACGCCCAGCGCCTCAGCCACCTGGACAGGCGACTACCACGAAGTACTCAACCTCCTCTCCCGCTGGTCCAACATCCCCGTCACAACAACCGTCCAATCCGACTTCTTCTCCAACCCCTTCGTGCCGCAGCTGCTCGACTACTTCATCACTAACCACCGCACCCTCGGCCGCCAGCTCTCCCCCAAGTACGGCACCCTCGCCCTGCGCGCCGCCTGCCCCATTCCCGGCTGCAACCTCGCCGAAAAACACGGCCGCCTCAACCGCTACACCAAGAGCACCACCACCCCCGACACCCCCGCGGCAATCATATTCCACTGCCCGCATCACGGTCCCCACACCATCCCCATCACCCGCAACCCGCCCGCCCTCTCCCGCCTCGAAGCCAACGCCCCGACGCGCAACCTCCTCCGCAGCATGAGCCACCTGCTCGACACCCACACGCACCACGTGCGCGTGACCGGCGCCGACTACGCGGGCGGGGTACCAGGAGGCGATGCTCTACCGGCCGCTGGCGGAGTGGAGCGCAGCGATGGGGGTGAAAGGGGGGTGTGGGGTGGGGGGGGCGCACGCCGCATATTTTGTACGCGCCGCTGGTGGTGGATTGGAGCGGGGCGAAGCGATTCAGCTCGTTGTATGGACGCCAACTGCGGTATGATTGGAAGAGGGTGTTGGGGACGGCGGGGTTGGGGAGTTATCGCGTGTTGAAGAGGGGGGTGGTGGGTGGTGATAGGGTGGCGGGGGATGAGGAGGGGTTGAGGAGGATTTGGGAGGAGGTGGGGAGGTGGGTGGCGGATCCGAGGAAGTTGTTTCGGTGTTATTCGGTGGAGTACTTGAGGAGGGTGATTGTTGAGGGGAGGGCGTGGGAGTGAGATGGTGAGTTTTGTTGGGGTTTGGTTGTTCACTTGGGCTGAGGGGGAGACTGGTTGGTGTTGGTGTTGGTTGGAGAGGATGTACTGGGTATCTTTTGTACGGAATACTAAAGTCCAAACTTGCGCTTGGCTATTTTATGCCTGGAATCCAGAGGCGGCTGCTCAGAACAGCTTCTTCACCTTCTCGTCCCGCCTTTCTTCGGTCCCCCATCGATCCTCCCACAAGCCGGCCTTGAGGTAGCGCCAGCCCATCGGTGCACCGCCCATGCCCCAGCTGCTTTTCATCTCTGCCAACGTGACAGGCTTGACAAGCTCGTACAGTTCTAGGACAGGGTATCCGTACTTGGATTCCTTCAGGCCAGCATTGAAGTCCTCGTTGCCAATGCCGAAGGGCTCTGTGGGTACTTCACCCGGGGTGTGTCGAACATCGGATGGTATCACGGCGATGTGTCTCCTAGCTATTAGCGAGAGGGACATGGCTGGGAGAAGAGAAGAGAAAGCATACGTGATAGCTGACCTGCCATTGTTATCGCCAGTCTCATAGAACCACAAACGCTCCACGCCGTTCCCCAACCGATACTTGCGGTATTCGTGGTTCTTTTTTTGGCGGGCAATGTTAGCGAGATGCTCTGGCTTAATAGCAAGGAGCACGTCGCTCTCAACGCGGTCCTCGTTTGTCTTTGCCTTCGGTTTAGCGGACGCGGTTCTCTTCCTGATGCGGTGTGTCTGCTGTCGTCCGAATGCCATGTCTGTTGCTCCGCTCCTCCGTTACCCTATCTGACAAGTCTAGTTCAGTGTAAGAATAAGTGCAGGTTTATTATAGCGTGTTACAGCGGGCAACGCTGACTGAGGATTACCGCGCTTGGTCGGTTGTTATGTAATTGCTTGGTTTGCGACGCTGAACGCGCTGCGTTGTGGGGGTTTGAGAGCCCTGCTGGTGCCGCACCGCTGGGTTGACCGACCTGCGCAGCGCGCCCCTACGCACCTGCCTCGCTGAACATGCTTCTTCCTGAACAAATTATTACAATTCACAAATTATTTCCCCCTCATTTCAGTCATCCAGCGACCTCTTGCCTCGCCCCTTTTCCTCCGAGCAAATTATGCCGCCTTCAACTGCTTCATTGCCGTTACAGCGCTGACCCCCTTCATCACAAGCCAACCCGACACAACCACATGAAACCATCCGCCGAACCTGCTCTCCAACAACAACGGCGCCTCGTCTTCTTTCCTCCACATCCAAGTCTCGTTGACAAACACAACACCCCCATCACCCTGCACCTCCACTCCAGCAACAATCACCCCACTAACCCTCGCCCCTTTGTAAGTAGGCGGCGCATCCAACGCCATCTCCACCCGTTCGTGTTCTTGCAGGTCCCCGTTTCCTCGATACACGACGCTCCAGAACCCATTCACCCGCTCGCCGTTGCAAAACCCAAGGTTCTGAATGTACGGCGTGTCAAACGTCTTCTTCACCGCCTTGTCCCCAGCAGCCGCGCGGAGCAAGAAGGCCTGCGGCGTCCAACTGAAGGCCGTCATGGTCGCTCGGACGTAGTCGGTTACCACGGCCGATAGGTTATCCGGCAGGCTGGATGGTGCTAAGGCTTTGGAGGTGATCCGTTCGTATGCGAGGATCCATTCCGACTCGTCGGCTCTGACCTCTTCCGGCAGTGTGATCGGCCTGGTAACGTTGGCTGGGACAGTAGAGGTACGTCTCTTCGTGTTGCGGACGCCCGTTGCGGTGTTGAGCTGTTTGGAGACAGCGTGGTCGAGGTAGATCAGGTATGTGACGGGAAGAGCTACAGGTAAGACGGCTAGGCAGACAGCCAGCCTGGGGGAAGGAAAGTTGACAAATTTGCTGAACATCTTGTTATATAGGTAACATGGACATCTGTTCGAGCTGCTGGCACGTACATTATCGGCATCAAGGTTGGGAAATAAATTCAACATAAGCAAAATACACGAGCCAGTAAAATAGCTCGCCACCGCACTGTGTCAGCCGGCCTAACTCATACCCTTGGCCCAAAAGCAGTCTGTCAAATACGAAACACGAAACCCGGGACTCCACTGTTCATATTGTCACCACTCTCGAGGGCTGGACAATCTCCCATGTCTCTGTACCCGCAGTTGGCCATTGAAAAGTGTGAGGTAGCTAGTTACAAGCATACAGGCGAGTTAGCCTGCCCGTTTATCACTGTTACTACTACTGCTCCTTGTTGCCCCTGGAGGTAAACAGTGCAGTGAGTGCACATGCTCATATTTACTAGGTAATTGGTGATTGGCCGTACTGATGGTCGTGGTTGTTGGGAGGGTCTCGTTCGGCAAAAAGGCCGAATATAATATCGTAGCCTGCCTGGCTAGGTTGTTTTTGTGGTCTTCTCGTTCATGCCAACAACCGAGCATCATCCTTTTCGAGTCACCCCTTTACATAACACCTTTTTTGATCTCTCTTCCCAATCATCAGACATCAAGCGAAGAGTATCTGCCAACTCACATCGGAGCAGTGCGGGAGAAGATTGAACAATTGTCATCAACACAAGCTTGCCTGACATATGCTCTTCGCTAGCATGGCTCGGCTGGCACAATGTAACACAAATGGGGTGCCGTTGGCGTTAACGGGTTAAGGAGTGGAAAAGTATGGAGCAAGGAGGGAGAGGAGGGAGGGATGAAGGAAGAGTGCGCCCTTGAGCGGGAGGAAGAGAAGGGGGGTCGTAAGTGGGGTTGATCTGACGCTGACATGTGGTTGATCCATGGGATAATCACTCAGGGTGCTCAGTTAGGTCTCGATAGGGCCCAGGAACCAGATCGCTGTAGGATACAAAGGAGCTTCCGAGGTAGAGGAAATGCTACGGTCTATCAAAACACCAGCTTATGCTCTGCTACAATAGGTGGTGAATTGGTCATGGTTACATAGTTTGTGGCCTTTGAGGCTCGGAATGTTACAGCATAACCAGCCACACCATGCGTTCGTCAACTTGATGTTGCCTCACATGCTTTCAGTTGATTGCATTCCTCGGCAACTTCAATGCAGAGTGTCAATAGTACTTCTCATATTGCATGAGGCTTGCCACTAGACTAATCCAACATCAACGAGCAACACTCACTCACTGTGGTGTCGATAGGTCCGAGACTCAGACGCTTGGCTCCGAGGAGGTGTTGCAATACTACCACCCAATGTTGTCATTGGCCTACGTTGAGAGTTACCTGTATCCCTGTCTCCGAGATGCCCCGGTTGTTGTATTGGACCATCAAAGGTGGTACCCCCAGGGTCCCAGCGCGCTCGTGTGACCGAACTTTTGGTCCCATTCCTCATTCCGGTTTTGAATCGTGACTGTAGGGAAGTCCGAGGCGGCGTCAGACATTGGAGGGAGAACTGTGTAAAACCCTCCGGTTGGCCCGGGAGATACAGGAAGCATGAATCGAGCTTGACGAATGTCACCTACCCCGGGAGGGTGGCGGGGTTAGATGCGTTGGGTGGCGGTTGTATGATTCAATATCAGGAGTGAGCTTCACATGGGAAAGACAGTTGCATACCTCGGCGGAAAAAGCACGGTTTAATCAGATGCCATTTGTCGGTAAGGTGCTGTCCCCAGCTTTGGATGTAACCCCCAGCCGATGCTGTGTAGCGCCGAGCCCCCCTACCCCGGCTCTCCCCGCGAAATGCAAAGTCAATGGATGCCAATGGAGAAGAGATCGACGAGAATCTGGGGTAGAAACCTGCCTCTTTCGGGCATCTACCCCATACAGATCTCATGCCGTGCATAGGGGAATCTGTGGTGTGCCCGCCCTGACCAACGGGCCTCCAGTCCCCACCCCACCATTTCCAATTCCTAGGAGTCTCGCGCCAATGTAAGGCTGCGTTCGCCTTCGGGGCTCATATAGCCTACTGCTCTATTGGCTACTAGCATCGTGAGAACGTAAGATGGAGAAATCGGAGTGAGGGGTTGGGCCGGAAAGGGAGTGTAGAGATCGTGAAGGGACAGAACAAGAAGCGATGTCTTCTTGGCGAGAAGCCCGGAAAACGGCATGTCTGGAAGCGTGGAATAGTATAAATAGTTGCCTCTCTCCTTCCTTCAGACTTCCTTCCTCTCTTCAACACACAATCACAGACACACACACTAGTCTCAACTCTGCCAACAAAAACACATCCCCCAAGCCAACAGCCACAATGCAGCTCTCTACTCTCGTCATTGCTACCCTCGCCGCCGTGGCCTCCGCCAGCCCTGCGGTCAGACGCCAGGCTGAGTGCCCCGAGGTGGACAACATCCCCGTTTGCGGCGTAAGCTCCCCCCACCGACGTTCACAGAAGAGATAGCCTTTGAAACGAGAACTACGCTGACCCGGTACACCATGGATCAGTATTCCTGCATCCTCGCGGCCGTCACCGAGATTGGCTGCGGAACCGAGGACTACGCTTGCATGTGCGGCAAGTTTTCCGACCTCCAGCTGGCCGCTGCTTCCTGCGTCATCACCAACTGCGGTCTCGATGGTGCTCCGGCCGTGCTCGACGCAGCCCAGGCTGTCTGCGATGCTTGCGCTTAGTTTGGTGGTTGCTAGGGCCCTATGGAAGGCGTCTTGATGGTGGTGGATGAGGACTGTATATAGGTACTTGGAACGACCTTTGCCACAAGTACTGGGCCGGATAACGCAAATATAACTCGAATGCAGTCGCCAACAATTTGTGTTTCGTTGAAGCCCCGTTTTCACTCCTTTCGCGCTCAAGCTAGCAAATTCATCCCTTGGTAAGCATAAAGCTCTGTCGTGCAGTCGTCGCTGGGTGTGTTTATTTCGGCGGCACAGCAGTGGCTGAGCGTTGCACAAGGAAAAAAAAAAAAAGTCCCCTCGACCGGAATCGAGCCGGTGACCTTTCGGTAATCAATAAATTCCTTTACAGCCGAACGTGATAGCCAACTACACCACAAGGGGTTATGTCATGATGGGCCAGTGGAGCACATCCCACTTGTCAACTCCACTCTCCTCCGCGAAGACTTTTTGCAACTGGCAAGGAGGTGGACGACCCCCATGTTCTCCTGACCGTTGAAGACAACAGGAGTGACCGTGCCCGCTGCGCGCGGGCACGCCAAAGGAAGCCTGGGGGAACGCGCTGTCGCAGTTAGCCGATAGTGGCATCAGAAAATGCCGTCCTGCGATTGACGCTCGGGCATTGAAGTTGACGAGCATTACGAAAGCAAGCAAATGTGGTCTCTTCGTATTAATGTCGGGTTTAGTCATACAGCCGCGCCTTCTTTCTTCCCGCTGTGGATCTGTTGCTTCTGACCGGTTCGGGAGAGCTTGGTTCCTGCCTCTTCTTTGTTGGGTTACTGCCAGCAGACGGGGTCGGTCCGGGCGGATAGATGCGGCTGGAACTTGGCCGTTATGCAACACACGTCGATGTAGCCCTGGAGCTCACCAGACACTGGACCCTAAACAAGCTCCAGCCGCTGGCGGTATTAATACCAGCAGCGTTCCTTGACGACCGCGGCACGCGGCTGCAAGAAGAGGGGGGCCGGCAGCACTTCCAGTACGTCGGCGGCGAGGGCGGTACGGGCAAATCTCGCGTCATTCATGCAATTCACGATATGTTCCGGTTGAAGGATGGTCTCCACATCTCAGTCTTTGCGGCCAAGCACGACACTGAGTCGGGGAAGCGATTGAGTACGCAAGAGCTATGCCACGTGCTCCGCCACGGAGACGACTCGCAACTGCCGACCCCCGGCCTCTTCTTCTACGCCCAAGGCATACCGGTCGTGGTGACTCGCAACCAGTTTGTCGGGCTGAAGGTGGGCCACGGGGCGCCTTTCAAGGCCGTCGACATCTTCCCCGACCTCGCCTGTGGCACCATCGCCCTCGCCAACGACGTGACTTTCCACCTCGGGCCACCCGTGGCCGTCCTCCTCCAGTCGGACGATAGTGCGGGCCTCGCCATCCCCAGGCTCCCCAACGGCGCCATCTTAGTCAAGAGCAAGATGGTCGCCATCCCGAGCCAAATGCGGGGCAAGGAAGGCGGATGGAGGGGCAAGCCGGGTTTTCGGTGGGTCACCCACAGAACGGGACCTCTTTGCACGCCGGCCTTCGCCATGACGGATCAGAAGAGCCAGGGAAAGCAGTTCTCAGACGTCCTCGTCAACCTGAAAGGCGTACGCGGCGGCGGCACAGCGACTCGGCCCAGTTTCATGAGCTTGTACGTGCAGCTGTCGAGGGCGCAGAGCTGGGACGGGCTGCATCTGTTTCGGAAGCCGGCGCGCAGTGACTTCATCGAGCCGAAGAACGTGCTCGATAAAGACATGAGGGACGCCATCCTCAAGCTGGAACGACAGGGCGAGGAGACCAGACGGCGGTTCGAGGAAGACCACAGGCACGAACCGTGGTTTCAGGAATGGGACGCCATGCCTGAATCAGCGCAGGCTGCTGAAGCTGCTGACGAAGATGCGGGTACGTCGCTCTAGTAGTAATAGTCAACCCATAATAGATGTCGACCATAAAACCTCATTTCCGCCACTTTTTGACAGAAATTTGATTTCTTGGTTCGTGATTGTCAAGGACTGCGCGGCGGAGGCACGCAAAGGCACGAGCGAAGCAGCGAGTCACAGGGGCCCTGATGCCCAAGTGCGGGTAAGCGGCTTTTCCCTGGTGGTCTAATTGGCCAGGTAAAGCAACAACGGTCCGTGCACCTCCACCGCCAAGACTAACTAAGAGATGCTGATTCGACGAAGCAGAATGCAGATGACGCCAGACGTCGAGATGCCATCGAGAGAAATCGAAAGGAAGAAAAAGCCAAAATTCTACAGTGAGAAGTCGACAGTACAGGTTAACAATGACACCGTTTTTTTTAAAGTAGAAAAAAAGTGGAAAAGAAGTGGACAATAGTTCGAAAAAGGAAAGAAATTGGTTTGTGCTTAGAGCAAGCCATGGCATTTCCGACCTAAGGAACCTGGAGTTCCTCCAGGCAAAGGAACCTTTCGGGAAGCTGGAAGGGATTATATCCGACGTGCCCTGTGTTGCAAAAAGGAACAACCTTGCCCAGCCCATTTTCCCGCCCGTTTCCCAAGTCCCCTTTCTACACCCATCGTTATGAAAGTTTGGGCCAAACGTAGACCGGTTCCCCGTGGGGACAACAGACTATCATAGCTGGAATACTCCACGATAGGTGCTGAATGATATACCCTCATGTGTTGGACAAACCCTGCCGCAGGTTCTTGTTGGCCAAATTCAGGTACACCCAACAACTTGGGTGGCAGCGGTATTCACAATCACTGCTGTCGAGAGTTGGGAGGTGGTTGCAGTAGGACATATGAGCAACTGGACCGTCCCCACAGATTTTCCAACAGAAGCTGGTTTCCGTTTTGGGTGCGTGCGATAAAGTATCCTACTCCCATCGCTTTCTAGTCACGGCGCCGTGAATTCCCTTGCTTTTGTTGTCTCGGTGCTGCGGGTTGCTCATGGGTCGAAGTCGGCAGGTTGGCGAAGGATCAGGCCCGTGAAGGTATGCTGGGCGGAGAAACATGAACTCGGTTTGGGAAGCTGAGCGAAGAATGGGTGTCAGCCGATATGCTCGTGCAACGTGATGCATTGGATTGTTACCTGTTCCCACGTGGTAGGGCTCGTAAAAAGCGTAGTGTTCTGGGACATTACCATCTATCGCTTCGAGCTGTAGGTGGAGTGATAAACGCAGATCCTCGATCTTCCGAATGTACTCCGGAACGGCCTCGCCGGTCCCTCGGCGGCGTGGTCCGGGGTTGGACTGAGTAGGTAAACGCTTGCTAGATCCCGAAGACACGTCAAGTCCCCCAAAGAGCGGTACGTGAAGTGGACCCCGTTACCGAGCAGGTCAACGACTTGTCCCCACAACCCTCAGCATCCCTATCCCGGCTCGTCTCGGCCGTCGCCGTGTGCGACGGGACAGGGCTCAGCTGCGCCTCCCCGTCATCAAGCCGCCTCCTCGCCAGTCGCCTAGACGCCCCCGACCCCATGTCAGGAGGGATATGCATGAAGGAGATGTTGGGGTCATGCTCGACCAGGGGGATCCCAAACTTGTTGAGCAGGTTCTCGATGGGCTTCTTGAGCGAGGGGCTGCAGGCGGCGAGGATGGAGACAAACTGTTCGGTGATGGTCCATGTGCCGATCGAGATGGCTGTTGCCCAGGGGTCCCGCGCCGTGGTCCATTCGGCGATGACGACGACTTTCATGATAGACGCGAAGGTGGCGAACAGGCCGATGCTGGTGAGGCTGCAGATCAGGATGCGCTCGCGCAACGGGCGGTGCAGGTTCCAGAACATGAACATGGGCGTGACAGACAACAAAAGGTCGGTTACGATATTGAGCGCCGACATGAGGTTGGAGACGACGAGGTCAGTCTCGCCGCTGGGGCACCGTCTGTCTTTGACAGTCACGTCCCAGGAGGCGTGGAAGGGCTGGCATTTGGTGAAGTTGTAGATGGTATTGGCGGTTCCAAAAGTGAGCTGGATAACCAACAGAGCATACAACATGCCCTTGTAAGACCGTTTCAGTGGAAGCCGGAGGAGGGTGAGGATGATGGATGTCTTGATTAGTGTCATGGCAATCGCCCACACCGGTATGGCGAAGTAGGCTAGCTTAACGGCAAACATGGTTTCTTCGAAGGAGATCAGTTGCGGCTTGAAATAAAGCTCTTCCTCAAGCAAGGCCCAGTCCGTGATGGCGAATAACTGGTGGATGATGTCAGCGTCAAGGGAGGCGGAAGGGAGGCTGTGCTGGGAGCGGTGAGCATTACCAGGCCAGCAACGATGAAGCCGTCGTCCACGCCGAACCGCCATACCGGCCAGATTCTGATGTACATGCGGGCGAAGAAGGGCATGAGGCACAAGACAAGCAGAGGGATGGTGGTTCCGATGTGGACCTGGGACAGGAGTGCGATGCGCTCGTTGACGGGAAACATCGGAGCCGGGCCGGGTGGGGGGTCAGGTGGTGGCTCCATGGTGGAAAGGTGGAAGGGGAGTTATGGGCGGGTTGTCCACCGCACCGGCAGGGAGTCGAAGGATTCAAGTCAACATGAAACCAAAACAACAAGCAGAACCGGCGGGGAAACACAAACAAACAGGAAAGGGGAAGTCGTGGAACGGAGGGGACTGGGAAGAGGGGAGAAATGTGCTCCTCGACGCGCGGGTGGTTCCGAGGATTTCCACCTTCACGGTTCAGCCCATCATCTCCCACGCGGGCACCTGGTAACCGGTATGCCAATGAACCGGGGAATGTCTCGTGGTGTTTTCCGTTTCAAGGCAAGCTCGGTGATTTGCACGGAGGGTTCCACCAAAATCTCAGGGGCCTACCGCCTTGGCGCAGTCACCCCCCGGCATTGACAGGCCAGCAATGCTCCCCTCGCTCTCCTTATTCGACGGTCCGAGGTTAGCGCACCGGGGAGCCTCCTCGGCATTGACATCCGGGGTATCTATTCCCGGTCCTTTCCCTGGCCGCCCAGCCGGTGTCATTGACAGACAGAAGGCCTCGGCTCTGTGAAGAAGTCAGAAAAAGTCAACTCTGGAAACCATGAAGGAATGCGCAAAGTCAGTTTGCTGTCGAAAACGGGAAGATTCCTATGTCCTGATTTGAACGGCTTGAGAGAAACCCACCCAGGGAGTGGCAGCTGGGAGAGGTCCTGGGGTACTGAGTCATCAGCAGCTTCTTGTGGCAACTCATTGACAAGGAGACGCGGACTCTGTGGCCGTGAGTCAGCAAAACAAGTCGTAGGTACCTATTGTTAGAACTACCCCATGCTACGCTGGTCCCCCAGAATATAAAAGCTAGATGCGGTGATTGGACTTGTACTGTTCTACGACTCAACTCCACGCACTACCACCACCATGTATTTTCGAAGCGCCCACGTCGAGACTGACATCTCGGAACTCCGGCGCTTCATCCGCGAGAACCCGTTAGGAATCCTTATTACGACACTGCCCTCGCCCAACTACCCGACACTACAATGCACCCACATTCCATGGGTGCTTGACGTGCTCGACGAAGACAGCAACACGGAACTGGGCACGCTACGGGGCCATCTAGCGAAGCAGAACCCTCACTGCAAGGCCATGCAGGAGGCTGTCGAGCGTGAGTCGGGCACGGTTGCGAATGGCACACTCCAACAAGAGGTGCTAGTGGTCTTTACCGGGCCCGTCCAGTCTTATGTCACGACCAAGTTCTACACCGAAACCAAGCCAACAACCGGCAAGGTAGCTCCGACATGGAACTACTCTGCCGTACAGGTCTACGGGCGGGCGACCGTCTTCTTCGACACCAAGGCCGAGTCCACGGCCGCCTTTCTTGACAAACAGCTTGTCGACTTGTCTGAGCATACCGAGCGCAACATCATGGGCTATACCGGCGTCGACGGGCGCCCGGCACCGTGGGAGATTACTGACGCGCCCAGCTCTTTTATCAACATTCTCAAAAAGGCCATTACCGGCGTCGAGATCACCATCGACCGACTTGAAGGAAAGCACAAGATGAGCCAAGAATTGAGCGTGGGGGACCGTGAAGGTGTTATTCAGGGGTTTGAGGCTCTCGGGACAGACGACGGCCGCCGAATGGCTGCGGCTGTACGGGAGAGAAGCGCTATGAAAGATGCCTAGCGAGTTGGGGAGAAGCATTTTGGGCAAAAGGATCAGTAAGCGGGGATTACAGGAGTTCGCCGCAAAGGTTCCGAAATGTAATCTGTCTAGTGGCCATCCCCCTTTCGATATCCCCAGATCCAGTGCGAGCTCGGGTTCCTCGACAGATGTCGCATCGAGTGCCAATCCGCACTATGACCGCCAGCTGCAGATTTCGCCTCGATTGCCTCTACTGCCAGCGTTGCATAGCGCCTTGCTTCTTCTTCCATCCCGAATGCGGCGAAGTTCAGGGCAGCTTGCATATAGGCTCTGTCCATATAAATATCAAGCCGCTCTCGCAGATACAAGTCGATCAGCTCCAGACCAGTCTCGGGCATCACCAGCGTCTTTCGGTAATTGTCCAGGTCGGCTTCTAGACCTGTGATTGCTCGCAGCCGAGCATCAGATTTGGCAGCCTCTTTGCCGCTCATACTGCAGTGTGCACAAGAGCAGTTGAAGCCCCAATGTCTGAGCTCCGAAAGCCTCTGGGCCCTCGTCGAGAGCAAGCCAATGTAGCTGTCGCTCAGCTCCTCGCCCACATCGATGTCCCGAACCGATGATACGGTCATTGTCGCGCCATCGATGGTGTAACTGAGACTGTAACCAACCAACAACCGTGGTTAGTTCCCAGAAGCCAGCGCTGTGAACGATGCTGTGACTAGGTATTGACCGTTGTTGCCAGTTGAAACGTACCTCGGCCTACAATCGTGGTTCAGCATGGCCACTTCCGGGTAACATGCTATGTAATCGTTACCGCCATCACCACCAGCCTTCTCCCCGCTTGCCCTGAGACGAAAACAGTTTTTGTCAATTTTGTCGCCCAGATCACGGCCCACCATTCCCAACAGCTGCCCACGTGTTTGGACCCCGAGTTTCTCCAACACGGTGGCGTAGATTCGGTTTCGCAGATGCACATCTGTCCGGGCTTGAGCTGCCACTTGAACCAAAAGTGAAGGCTGCCGGACCATGACCATCACCCCCCTTTTAATGGGGCGGGTGGCAATGAGTCCAATGCCCTTGCCGGCTATCTCGGCCACGCGGAATGACTTTTCTTCTCCATCAGCGGTGGGATTTGAGGCCATTTTCCGTGCATGCGAAACCTCAGCCATGATTGTCTTGACCCGATGCCCATTTGTGACGAGTGTGCTGTCACCATCAGCTGTCCAGTGGACACAAAATCCTGCAAGACAATGCTCAGGCCCTTCCCATTTCGTATTGTGCTCCGATCGCCGAGGTCCGTGAAGGCTGTTGGTGGTAGCATTTAGGTGGGGTTGTTCGTCGCAAGCGGTTTGTTCAAAGATAGACAGTGAGGGCTTGGAGTGACAGATGTCATACAAATCCTCGCCGGTCCAACATGACACCGCATTCTGGATGAGGCCCAGGGCACTGAAAACGGCAACGAGACCAAGCATTGCAGATGATTTGCTGTCTAGGGACTTGCTTGGATAAGTTATGGAAGTGAAGCAATTGGGGATGAGAAGTGCGGTACGGCCACCGACTCCTTGAAGGTGACGTCTGGACTTGAAGAATGAGAAATGATACAGACACCGAGATTCACCGGATTACCGCCTTGTGTTAGACTGGCTTCCCACGGCACATTGCCTTGAGTGCGAACAACGTGTTCAGGGGGCGCGAAATTCCACGGGACGGGGGTAACGCTGCCAACAGAAGCCCCTGAACTCTCTCCACTTCTGACACATTGCTCCTTTGTCTAGAAGGTCTGTGTTGGTGGTAAGGAGCCAGGGTACTTTGGGTACTGATATAGAGGTATCTAGGGCGTTGAACAGGGGTTCTTGTTACTTTCGATATGCAGAAAGAACAGAAATTTCCCCTACTTCTGCACGGTACCTAGATATGGGGCTCCGGATGATCCCCAGGCATGCTTGATAGGATGACTTTGTCTGTCGCTACGAGTGGAGGTGTGAGAAAGTGGGCAAACTGGCCCGGCTTAGCCGGGCCGGCTGGAGAAGAGGCGGCCAGCCCCATCCACCTGCAGATGAGTCCCTCCATACACAACAACGGACAAAAGGAAATACTGTACTCATAAGTACAGGGTACTTACCTAAGGTACCCCCCCACCCAGGAAGTAATCGGGAATGACGTGATGAACTCCGTACATGCAGCCACGACAACAGGCGGAAAGAGGCCAGCCACGCATATGGAAATTCTCCGCATCTGTTGGATTGGAGCGTCAAAGCGATGGGGCCGATGACGGCAATTCCCTGATCAGACTCCTTGCACTTAACAACCCACACTCTCCAGGACCAATATGAGGTACCGGCCAGATATCGCAAATGTAGGGAATTATATGGCGGAGGAATTATATGGCGGAGGTTCCAGCCCTGCGACGGTTTTGGGATTTTACGCCATCTATTCTTCATTTAATACGTGAAATGGAAGGTAAACACATGGGTTTGGGTCCCTATCATGAAAGTACCTTAAGATGCCTAGGTACCTAGGTACGTGAGCTAACAGGTGTTTGTAAATTCGAGACCAGAGATCAGAAGATGCCAATGCACTTGGATTTAAAACAGTTGGTCATATACTACCCAATCGACTGTAGAACGAGCGATGCGAGTATGCCAGACAATCTGACTGGTCGTTTCAATTACTTCCAAGCCAGAATTCATGTCATTGTGCTGTGTACCTAATGGATGTAGGGAATGACAGACGTGGAACACAGGATCTAGGAGAAGCCCGTCCATGCAATGGTCGTAACTAAACCCCCAGGCCAGGATAGATCTGTCCTTTCAGGCCTCGTCGCCGGCAGCACGCTTGTCCGGAACCACAACATTCTCCTTCCAAGCCTCACCCTCAGGAATAACAACATTCTCCTTCCAGGCCTCGTCGCCCGCAGCACGCTTGTTGGGGATGACGACGTTCTCCTTCCAGGCCTCGCTGTCAGGAATGACGACATTCTCCTTCCACGCCTCGCTGTCAGGGATGACAACGTTCTCCTTCCAGGCCTCGTCGCCCGCAGCACGCTTGTTGGGGATGACGACGTTCTCCTTCCAGGCCTCGCTGTCAGGAATGACGACATTCTCCTTCCACGCCTCGTCACTCGCACCACGCTTGTTGGGAATAACGACATTCTCCTTCCACGCCTCGTTGTCAGGGATGACAACGTTCTCCTTCCACGCCTCGTCACTCGCACCACGCTTGTTGGGAATAACAACATTCTCCTTCCAGGCCTCGCTGTCAGGAATGACGACATTCTCCTTCCAGGCCTCGTCACTCGCACCACGCTTGTTGGGGATGACAACGTTTTCTTTCCAGGCCTCGCTGTCAGGAATGACAACATTCTCCTTCCAGGCCTCAGCGCCGGAAGCCCTTCCTGTTGAGAAATTTCAGCTAACTCACATTCACAAGTTTGGAACTGCGAGACCTTACCGGCGTGGGGTGGCAGCGCGACAGCCCCAATGGCCAGCATGGCCATCGTGACAGTGATGCTGATGGTCTTCATGTTGAGTGAGGTTTCTGGCGTGGAAGGTGATGAGGAAGAACGCGTCTGGTTTAGGGAGCTAAGTGTAGCGGATGTTGTGGACTCTGCTTAAGGAACTGTTGTTCAACGAGATGATGAACGGAATGGTGAGTTCTGTGATTGCTGGGGATGGACAAAAGACTGTCCGAAATACTGGATGGCTTGGCCTTTTATGCTCACGGCGCACCCATGAACTAGACTTGATTGCGTGCTCACATTGCTGTTCTTACCACCGCATCCCCTTGTTTTCCCAGTTTGTCCGGCATCGCCTCCACCGATCCGCGCCCTCATTTGCCGCTCAAAATGCAGCTGCTTCTTTCAGTTGCTCCGTGCACCATCCCTTTCGATGCCGGCGGCCGTACCAGAGAAGGCCAGGATGGGGAGCTGTGGTAGGATCAGTCGGAGGCGAGTGTGCTCCTGGGCGTGTCGTTAGCTACGGATAAAGTGGTCGCGGGTCGTCTGGCTGCATGTGGACCGTAGAACGGGCGGTTAGCTGTGCGTTGGCTCTATACAGTAGGTAGTTCGTTGTCTTCAGGCGAGGCCGGAGTTGTGGGTTAGATTGGTGGTTCAGATGGCTCGCTTTAGGTAGGGAAGCTCATTGGTTACGCGTGAGAGTAATGCGACAGGAAGCATGCTCCTCTAGCATTCTGCAAACCTGATCATCTCTTGCATCGGATCACCTCGAGACGGAACGGTGTGGGGAACACACCAGGAGTTGGTCTTCCGTCGTTCACCATTGGCAATGATACGAGCGGGGGCACTTGGTCACCGCACCAAATTGTGCGAAGCGTGGTTGCCGTGGCATTGAATAGATTGTTCATGCCCTACAACATAGGAGAGGGTGCCATATATGGAAGGTACGGAAGAAAACAATGCAAACGAAGGCGATCAATATCCGCCATCCCTCATGATGCAGGTTGCCCCATGCACGACCATCCGCCTGAAGCGAGGTGGAAGTGATGTCGTATACAACTGGAATGAGCGCGGTGGAATGAAGTACGATGCCATGACATGGGCGGCGCAGAAACATCAGACCGGATATGATTTGTAATGGTAACATAGCAGGGAAGACAACGTCAGGAACATGCATCTGCACGAATACCATCAAGCCATTGGAACCAACGGTATGCGCAGATGGCATCATTTTCATATCAATACGGAACATATGCGATGCGAGCCTATGTGCGCAACCCTTCCTTGTCCGAAGGCCAGCGCTCCAGGAGATGCTAATGGGGGCCAAATTCAAGAGTTACACAGGCTTTTGTGGAGTGCTAGTCTGGTAGCGTCTGTGGGTAGATCGTAGATGTTCTGGTGACGTGATGTTGAGCGATCTGCGGCAGTTACACAGCCGTGACGGCTGGAGCTAACAGTGATGGTTACAATGGTCTACCGATGCTCCCTGCCGCTTATCCATAATGTTCTGGCCCGACCTATGACCATAATACCCATCAGGATTGAATAATGCAGTCACATTTCGGGGTTTACCTGGGCCCCAACAGCGAAGCCCGAGTTGGACCGCGGCCAAACTCTCGTATCAACATGTTCCGTCAGATCACTGGGTGTAGAAAAAACAGGTTGGCCAAGGCAGCAACAATCGGCGGCATATTTTCTATATGTCATGTTTCTAGCAAAGCTTCAGCCTTCGACCCTCAAGCCGTCCGCGGCGGCTGCCACATTTCTTCTCTTTACTGTCTAGACATCCTTGCTCGAGTTCATTGTGACCGGAACCTCAATGAGAAAGAAGTGGTCAGGGACTGGGTTCCGAATCAACCGAGTGCAATGCTTGACGTGGTGCAGGCTGTCAAAACGCTCCTCCATCACTAGGTTTGTAGTGCGCATCCGAACGTACTTTTGCCAATAAAAGAGGCAATGGACAATGTGCCAGTCGCGGGAGGCCCAAAATGAGCCGCCAATCTCACCCAAGGCGGCTACCTGCTCCAAATCTAGCGCGACTTTGCCCTCCTCGTCGGCAAAATATTCCCAGGAACCTCCCGGTCCCGGTCCGGAATTGTCAAACTCGGCCGTCAGCTCCCCGTCCCGACAATATGGTGGGAGCCAAGCCGTGGAGAGGGTATCGTAGATGCAGCCTCTCGACCGCGCCTCCTGGATTGTGCTGCCGCAGTCACACAGGTTGAGTCCAGGTGGAAGTGTTGCCGGACGATACACGTCGATTTTGTAGCTGGTTTGGTCCAAGTATGGCCGCGGTGACAAAGGCGAAACTTGCGGTCCCTCTTCAGATAACTGCATCTTATGCAGCACCTTAGAAGCTTCAAGGCCCAACGAAATCAGGCCCCAGATGGCAAAGACGCGCGTGAAGAGTTGGAAAATCGTGAACATATAGCGCATTGCCCATGGGACGGAACGATCGCTGGCGGCAACTTTCAGCTCGTAACCTTGGAACTCGCCGAGAAGTGGTGCGTCGGGGGAGGAGGATGCCATGGCGTTCGCTGTTGTAATCTTGTGGTTAGACCCAACACCATAATAAGGGACAGAGAGCAAAAAGGTCCAAAATAGAGCACACCTGGCGCTGTCAAAACGCTGGATTGGAAGTAACGGACTTTTGTTTAAAAATATGAAAGAAGGAGGAGCAGGACAAGCAGAGTCGGGGTATGGCTGTATGACGCCTCCACAGAATGTCTGAGGTACCTCGGTATCGAATGGCCCCCAAATTCTACGGCATCCCCAAGGCGCATATTCTGGCTAATTTGGAGGACTCTTTTGACACTACGGCGTCCCTAGTCTCTCCGGGGCCTGGGTAGATCAAAAGCTTCCAGCCTGGGGATACACCCCCTGCCGGTGCCCTGGTTGTTGTGTTAGGTAGTGTTACCTTTCATGCAACCGACCTGCATCTGCGCCTGACAGCATGATGTGGGGAGAGACGGCTTCAGAGAGGACCGGCATATGCAAATGCCAATCTACGTTGGCACCAAAACGTGTAGGATTGGATAACTCTTGGTATTTCTAATCACGCTCACTTAATGGAGCGAGCAAGGTGCCTTGGGTTGAGCTCGATGATGTGACAAGTCGAGGATCTGCGCCAGACAGGAGGTCTGTTTTTTGAGGCATGATCGAAACCTTTCCATCCCCCCGCCTGTCCGCTCTTCAAACTGATCCTCCCTTCTCTGCCTTCTCGTACACTATCTTCATCTTCCCATATTTTTTACCATCTCTCACGCTTGGCGGCCATGGCATCAAAGGAGGGTGCAATCACTGGTACGCCCGACGCAGAAATCACGCGCCGGACATCTCTATCTTCTGTTGGCCTAAATGGATGTGGCGACCGTGAAAGCCAGAGCTTCCTCAGGCCATCCGAAGAGCGCCAGCGGTCTCGTCAGTGGCAAAGGCCACATCAATTGTCCAACCGTTTCGCATTTCATTTCATCCTCCTCATTGCCAACCTTGTGCTATTCGGCTTTGCTGTATATGTCAACAGCAGGCCGCCCAACACCGGCACACTTGGCTCTCACTCTGCTGCTTGTACGATCTCATCCCTTTACCCTCCATCACGTATAATCTGATGCGATCAAGGAAGAAGGTCGTTAACTCCCATTCCACTAGCCATATTCCGAGATGCAATCCAGTTTGAGGATCGTTACTTCAATGTGCGGTCAATCTACACGTCGAATGGTTCTGTGAACACAAGAAAGTCCGACGTCGCTTTCTCAGGGCCGCCTCGTCTTGAGCTGGAGGAGGCCTGGGCTAAGATCCTAGCGTGTGAGTTTATCCTTTTGGCACTTGATGCGTCACCTCACTTATCGTTGCACGCAGACCAAAACTTTCGGGTGCAGGAGCATGAGCTCGGCGAGTACAAAGGTCAAAAGAGCATCATCCAGCTCAGCGACGGCAGCGGGTTTTACATGACGGTTGCAGTGCAACATGCACTCCACTGCGTTCAGAGGCTTCATCATTATCTCTACAAAGACCACTATTATTCTGGATTCTCCGACAACGATACCTTTGCGTTGAGACAGCATACTGAACACTGCTTGGACTGGCTGCGGCAGTACGTACAATGCAACGCTGACACTACACTGATACCCATCCGATGGGCGACAAGGTGAGCTCTCGATTCGGTTTCAACTCGAGTTACGTCAATCTTTCTTCCATATCTTCTGCTTAGGTTTTCTTTTGCTAACCGCTGAGCCATAGCTTTCCCGGACCTGTCTCTAAAGACTGGGGACACCACCGCTGTGTCGCTTGGGAGCCAATTGTGGAGGTCCTGGCATCTCGTGCTTTTGATCCCTTTGAGCCTGGCCTGCTTGTTCATCCGTACTTTGGTTAGTGAAGGCTCCTGATGCTATTATCGCAGCACTATTCTATGTTACAGTTTACTGACTGAGGTTTTGGGGTACCAGGGGATCCCTACGCAGGCCCTTCCGGTGCGCAAACGGGAGCTGCCATTTCTCAGCACGGGGATGGTTTAATTGGCGGCGACCATGGACCTGATATCTAGGATTATAGGATCATAAACACGCAGCCAGGTTTGTGGCTTCCTGAGACCTGCCCCCGTAAACGGAGGGAACTTTCAAGACTGGATGAAAGAGGTAGCCTGAGCAATATTCTAGATAGCTCCTAACAAGTAACATTGTATAATGAGATTACCTATGAACTGGTTGAATGCCGAGTACCGTATGAACCGTCCAGGAAGCATGCGGTCTGCTCTTTGCTGTTCTGTTCTGGGCGCCCGGCAGTGCCACACCACATGAAACCAGGCATGTTTCCCCAGGACTTGATCGAGAACTGTCGTCAAAAACGATTGGCTCGAGTTGGCAGGTCGGGATTCGGTACTATGCATGCGTCTCCGAGCGTTGTACATAGGTAGGTAGGTACCTTGTTGAATAGGTCGACGGAAACTGCGCGGACCAACCCTTCAATGAATTACGGCACCCACTCTTTTCCGCATTTCATGCTGGCTTTGGTTGCATTTTCAACATAGGTACGAATCTTGGATAAAGTACGTTCTGCGCAGTGTATGTACGTACGGACTTCACGTTACCCCCCCACGGTCCCCCCGTCCCCTTATATTGACACCCAACCATCCGCCTTCGAGCCGCCTCCGTGCCGCCTCCGTGTCCACCCACCATGTCAGACGGCCCCGCCTGGAAGCAGCCCCGGACCATGGAAACCAAACGGCCTACATATGTGCGTCGCCTCTTCCGGTCTTGCAGCTGACGACCCGCCCGGAGTTAAGATGATGGTACCGAATCCAGCGTGTAACTGGTACATACCTACCTAGGTATGGAATGCAAAGCAAAGCAAGCCAGCTTTTCCCTCCGGCTCAAACTACTGACAGCCTTCTTTGATCTCGGATGAAAACATAACTCGGGATCGAAACACGTACCTCCGGCCACCAGCTATGGGTCTATGACTGCAATGTGTCATTGAGTATTTGACTGCGCCTCCTCGTTACGTGGAGTTCTCTTCTTGACTTCTGTTCTCTACCCGTGGAAAAAGAAGTTTGCCTGAATGCCTCCACACGGAGGCAGTTCGGTACTGGGTACCTACCACCCGGAGAAGTTGACGTGGGGTCGGGCGGCAGCTAACTCATGTCCATCCATTTGCAGACCACGACGGCACGGTCCAGACCGCCCAGTATGAAAAGAGCAAGCTGGAGGTCACGAAGAAAAGGCGGAGGCGGCTCAACAGTCCGGGAGGGGGTCCAACCTAGGGCGTGCCGGGCTTGGAGCTTACGACAAACACACTCTCCATGATGATTTCCGGATGCGACAGCCGACGTTGTCGCAGCCGCGCCACACGCACAGCAGGTGATATACATGCAGTAATCGGTTAAGCCCAACGTTATTGATAAGACATGGGCCATTCAGGCACCTGCCTGATCGAGAGAGACGCATGGAAAGACGGCCTCCTCGACCATGAGCTTTTGGGGGCCAAATGGCGTGCGACGGTGCGAACGTGCGGGCAATCTGACGAGCATCGGAAATGACTGGCGGCCGCTTATCAATTAGGTATTTTCATTAATCACGGCTGAGCCCAACCGGCTCGTATCCTGTTGGATCCCCAGGAAGTTAACATCAACGTGTCATGCGAAATTGGGCAACCAGAGGTTGATATGTCAAGAGAGATGACCAGACGTTAACTGCACACCGAAGCCCGTTAAAGCGCTGGTCGTCTATTGGCTACTTGCCGAAGGCGTGGCAGCACGGAATTTGAGCCGGACCAGTGACGCCGCACACGGGCCGTGAAACTTGGCAGCCTTGGAAATGCTTGAATTCCCCTCTTGGCGCCCCCGCATCCCTAAGTGGTACCTTACCCGCCTCACCCCACCTGCCCCTCTTTTGTTTGGGAACCATGAACAACACAACAACCTGGAAATTCTGACCCCCTTCTGGTACATACATGTACATGTACCCACCTATCCACATGGATTCTACTTTGTACTCTGTACGCGCTTCTCCGCAAGCGAAGCACCCCCATCTGCATGTGGTTGCAGTCGCCCAAGGCAGCTGGGAGTCTGGGACTTGCAAAATTCAATCCGACCGATAAACACGGGCAGTCTTTGAAAGACTGAAACGGTAACTCTCAAACCCCCGTCTTACGGCCTCGCCACCTCTTGTTGTTCGTACCCTATCATCTCACTCACAATGACATTGCATCCCGTTAATATTGCCATGGCTGACTCGCTCATGTCGCCTCAAGAGGTGGCAACATGTCTCCTGGATCAGCGCAACCCGGCTCACAACATTGCTGCCCTGGAACATCGCCAGCGGCTCATCAGGACCTGGGGGATCCCCCTCGGCTCCAACATTCTCGAGATTGGCCCTGGCCAAGGCGATTTTACCGTTGCTCTGGCCGACGCTGTAGGGCCGGCGGGGCGTATTGTTGCCATTGACAATTGCCCTCCAGGCTATGGTAAGCTGAAGAGATGATGGATAGAGATACTCCGTCTCTGTCGCGCCGACGCTTATATAGATGTGGCTCCTTTACTGATATTCATGTGCTGCTATTCAGGCACTCCGCCCGTGGAGGAGGCACAAGCATTCATACTCGCCTCGCATCTGGGCCCGAGAATCGAATTCGTCCGCGGCGACCCCATCGAATATCTCTCTTCGCGCACGGAACCCACAGCAGCAGCCAGCCCGAAGAAATTCGACTTCATTGTGTTCTGCCACTGTGTCTGGTACTTCTCCAAACCACACTACCTGGCCCAACTGCTCCGTGTTGCCCCCCCCTGGGCCGGCACGGCGCTGGTGGCCGAGTGGAGCCTCTCCACGTCGCTCCCGGAGGCCTTCCCTCACGTACTCTCCGCCCTTCTTAACAATACGCTCGAGAGCCTACAGAGCGACAGCTCGCTGCGTAACATTAGGACGGCGCAGACTCCGCCGCAGATCATTCAGGCTGCCGAGAGCGCGGGGTGGGCGTTGAGAATGGAGCAGGTTATCCCTCCAGCGCCGGGGCAGCTGGATGGGCGCAGGGAGGCCCGGATGGTGATCGCGTCGGAGTATTTCAAGTCAGATCTGGAGGCCGTGCAGGTGAATGAGGGCGTCAGGCAAATGCTGTATGCTATGCGGGATGCTGTCGCCGCTAGCGTGGCACGGCTCGACGGGGGTATCGATGCTGTGAGGGCTATGGATGTTTGGCTCGCGCGATTTGAACTGAGCGAATAGGAGAGGCGTTCATGTCATGAGCACATCGTAAATACTAGCGCTTCAATCTCTGACCATGTTGATGCCCTGTGAAGGAACGGAGCAAGATCATTTGCAATTCTTCGGGTTTAGCGTAGCCCAGTACCTAACTAAGCACGTGCTAAGGCATGGCCCCGTCATTCCTCAGGAGAGATCCGGGGCTTTCCGGACTGATCTCGTCTTCAATAGCCGTCGCTCCAGCGTCCGCGGCGTTGGCAGGGGCGGTGATTACCGAGATAATCACAAGTACGAGCATGAAGCAAGCTGCGGCGATGAGGAATGGCATCCCGATCCATGCCTCCGACTCTCCTAAGCTCATACCCCAACGGAAGGCTGCCGCAAATAGAGGCTCACCGGCTATTACGCCAATGTATGTTAAGACGGAAATAACAGTGTAAAGGGTTCCGAGATGTCTTTGCTCCACCATGCCAGTGACTAAACTTCGCGTCGGGACCGCGAAAGCGTACCCGCAAGAGTAGGCGACCTGCCCGAGGACTAAGAGCATCCACGAGCGGGCCCTGGCAACCGTTGCAGAGCCGATCACGAGGAAAAGGCCGCTAAGCTGCGCGATGCGTTTATCCTTGACAGTTTCGTGCATGCCCGGTCGTCGCATCAAGAAGGCGGACAAGGCCGGTATGAGGACTGTGAGGACCATGAAGTTGACGCCAGAGCCTAGCGAGGTAATAAAAGCGGCCTATTATGGTTGGTTTATTAGCCCTCTCACTTTGGATCATCACGTCCACACCCGGAAACTCACCTCTCCGACGGTCCATCCCAAGCGTTTGGCAGCATATTGAAGTATCAGCAGTGCGTCTGCTTGCTCTCCTAGATGAAATAGGAGAAAGCACAAAAGACAAAGGACAAGTTCGGCGTTTTTTGCCATCCACCGAAACGGCAACATGGACGCTTTCAGACGCTCCCGCACATCGCCATGGATGGCTTTCCTGGCGCCGTGAGCTCTCGCCTCGATGACGGCTCCGGCTTCCCCATTTGGTGCTCGTGTCGAAGAGCGCGGTGATAAGGTCTCGGGAACGAAAAGCAACGCGACAAGAAAGCCAGTCGCCATGAAGGCCTGCCCAATCGCCATGGGTATCCACGGACTTGTCGATATCAGGACACCGCCAACGGGCACAAAAACGAAGCGGGATAATAACGTCGCCGCCTGGACTTGTGCAAATGCGTTGGTTCTGAATCTGTGTCAGTCATGAGGACCAATTTCCGGTGGTGAATCACATGCCTTTGCTCTGCCGGGCAGATGTCAGCGACGAGAACAAAGGAAACGGATGAGAAAGTCGCGGCGCCCCCGCCGATAAGCTGCCACAGTCCACCAAACCACACAGCTCGCACCGGTAAGGTGTCAAAGAACCAATCTAGGCAGTTTAAAAAGGTTAGATTCCGGGGTCCAAAAATCGAAGCTAAATGGCAAAGAGATAGGGGCAGCTCACAGACGACTCGGATCCAGACATCGTTCAGGAAGCAGCCCACGATGGCGAGCAAAAAGATCTTCTTACGCCCGACACGGTCAGCAAGCGTACCGTAGGGAACGGCTAGAATCATGCCTAGAGTTGAATTATAAATGATACATTGCTAGTCAGCAAAGATGTGTGGAATCGTGTACATCGCGCAGCCCGTACCAGGGAGAGCCTCAAAGACATCCTTCCATGCATTGATATGCGCAACTTCGCTTTGGACGGGTTCTATTTTGCATTCGTCACCAAGACGCGAGGGCAACCATGGCGGAGTGCTGCTGGCATAATATTTCGCACAGACAATATCCTGAAGAATCGCGGTCTGGGGGGCGAGGGTAATATGGCTTCCCATGTTGAGGATAAGCAGAGCGGCCGCGGTGGACAGGATAGTGCGCAAAGGGCTGGGGCGGCCAGTCTTGTTGTCATTCTTAAGGACTGGTGTTTGAGAAACGGTGAGATGGGGACCCAGCAGCCTGGTTTCTTCGTCTGTTTGATTGTCATCCATTTTGTTCGAAGCGAGTCACGCGTTGTGGACTGGAGGCCTGGCGGAGGTTGCGATATGAAGTGTGAATATAAAGCCAAACAAAAAGCCAAAAATTGCGTTATGGGTGTCGACGGCAGATTTGCGTGACCCGGGACTACGCGCGGTCACTGGTCCGCAAACAGACCTGGACTCTGCTGCTGTTCTGCCACCCGCTGGTTCCTATTGGGTGGCGTACGAGGCGGGCTGGTTGTTTCTTGTGTGGCACCTTCCGGATCTAGGAAACAACAGGGAGAAATCTGGACCAACATGCCAACATTGCCCACCTGGAATCCCCCGATACCTGGTAAAGCGGGGTTTAGGTACGGACCTTACGATGGTTAACCACCCTGCTCCGAAAGCTTCCCAACGACTCCAGACCTACCTAACTCATGTGCCCGCTGTTCAACATCGCGAGCCAAAGTTGGGTCGAACTTTTGGTCTTGCAAGCACCACCTAACCGCCAACGACGAGTGCTGCGGCATCACGGGCGACTGCAAGCGACTGCAGCCCGGCGAGTTTGGGCGGAATGGCAACTTCTCCGTTACTGGGCAGCTGCCCACTCGATGCGGACGACCAGTTCGGCCCCCGAGTAAACGTCATTTGCCGCGCTTTTGACTTCACGCTACAGTTTGAAGATGGCTTTTTTATCGCTCTCCCCGCTGCCGTCTTTCTTCTTTTTGTGCTGCCGCGGCTCCTGACGCTATGGAAGATGCCAACCAAGATGGCTTCTCGTCGGCTGCTGGCGTGCAAGTTGGTAAGAGATCCCAGTCTTTCAAGATGACACGAACAAGTGTCGCCCCTGGCGGGCGTTCTGTCGACCTCGCTAATAGTTTTGTAGGTTTTGCTTAGCTTCCTTTTCGGCCTACACCTTCTTTTCCTCCTCCTTGGGCCTCGCACAAAGCTCTCCCTCGCCGCGGCATGCCTAAGCACAGCGGCAATCCTGGCAGCCATCGTCCTATCCTTTATTGAAGACCGACGCTCCGTCCGACCCTCGGATTTGTTGGTTCTGTACTTTTCCGCATCTACCATTCTCTCCATACCACGACTACGCTCGCTTTGGCTCATCACCCTTCCCTCCGCCGCAGCCGGCAGGGTGATATGGACCATCATCTTCATCCTCACCGTGGTCGCCGTTTTTCTCGAGTCTCTAGGAAAGACGATGTTTCTACGGCCGGCCTTTCAACACAATGTCACAAAAGAGCAAGCTGCTGGCTTCTGGAGTCGAAGCTTCTTCGTCTGGTTACTCCCGTTTTTCCAAGTCGGGTACTTTCAAATACTCAGTCTCGGAGATGTCCCAAGAATCGACAATGATCTTGCTGAGGAAGCCGCCTGGACACGCTTGAATGCATGCTGGCTTCGTACTGCAGGCCGTCACCGCCTAATTCGCGCCGCCTTCGCCGCAAACGCGTTGCCTTTCTGTTCTGCGGTTCTCCCACGCCTTGCTCTGTCCGCGTTCGTCCTTTGTCAGCCATTTCTCATTGGAACCGCCGTCTCCAGCCTCGCAACTCCAGCCCTAGAGGGCCAAGAGCAGTATGGTCATGCTCTGGTTGGCGCATTCGTCTTTACGTACCTTGGCATCGCTGTAAGTGGCCTTCCGCGGTACAATAATGTTCACTATGGTTGATTACGTCAACGCAGGTTTCACGGGCCATATATTGGCGCCAGACAAATCGCATGATAACAAGGATACGATCAGGCCTCATCGCCATGGTATATCGGCACACTACTGCCCTGCGGGCCGTGGACGTTCAGGACTCGGCGGCAATTACCTTGATGGGTACGGATGTGGAGCGCATTGTACAAGCATTGAGATTCATCCATGAAGTCTGGGCATCGATTCCTGAAATAGCCGTTGCCGTCTGGCTTCTGGCTCGTCAAATGTCCTATGCTGCGTTTATGCCACTCGTCGTTGCTTTAGGTCAGTCCGAAGACTCTTTCGTGCAAATCTCGGTCAACCCTGCTAATACCATTTCCAGCATCCGTAGCTGGAGCATCATTCGTCGGGGCGCGGTCTGGCCCTGCCCAAAAGGCGTGGAACGAGCGCGTTGAGAAGCGAATCGCAGTCACGACCAAGATGATCAGCAGCATGAAAATTGTCAAGATGTTGGGCTGGTCAGAGGTGCTGGGTGATATCGTTCGTGACTTGCGAAAAGTTGAAATACGCACCTCGGAGAGGTTCCGTTATCTCCGGATCTGGCAGATTCTGTTTGGTAAGCCATGGTACACGTACATAACAGTTCTTTCTTAAGCTGATAATATCTTCAGGAAATGCGCCTACCACGCTTGCCCCCCTCGCAACCTTTGGCGTATATGCCATCATTGCGGCTGTCAAGGGAGACGAAAGCCTATTATCAGCGCAGGCCTTCACCTCGCTTGCTCTCATCAGCCTCGTCACAAGCCCCCTGATCACCTTCTGTCAGGCCTTGCCATCTTGTATTCAGGCTGCGGCATGCTTTTCGCGTATCGAATCATACTGCTCTCGGCAAGCGTTGTCTCCACGCATGGACCCTTCAGGAGGAGCCATTGAAAGCAGCATTCCGCTAAGAGACCGATCGTCCACACGCTTCGCTTCGGGGAGACCAGGTGATGTTGTGGCCTCGTTTTTGTCAGCCGATATATCTTGGTTGGCAGATGCCACCGAACCTGTGCTGCGCAACATCAATCTAAACGTCAAATCCGGATTCACAGCAATTGTCGGTCCGGTCGGTTCGGGAAAGTCCACACTGCTCGAGACTTTAATAGGAGAAACCATCATCACCCGAGGGCGTGTCGAGTCCAAAATATCCAAGGTTGCCTTTTGCTCGCAGCTTCCCTGGATTACTGACGATACCATTAGACATAATATTGTCGGCACAGCCAACCCCGAGTTTGACCCCAAGTGGTATGAGTTTTCTGTTGCGTCATGTGGACTTCAACAAGATCTAGCAGGGCTACCTGTTGGTGATCAGACCGTCGCAGGGAGCAATGGTCTGGCCTTGAGTGGAGGACAGCGGCAAAGAGTGGTTTGTTACCAAAATCCTTCAGGAGAATGCCATATGTTGTTAAGACTAACATCCCGGTAAAGGCACTTGCTCGCGCTGTTTACGCACGACTTCCCGTCATTATTCTAGACGATGTGACAAGCGGTCTCGATCCCACGATGGTCAACTTCATTCTCACCCAGCTCTTCGGTCCTCAAGGCCACTTTCGCAAATCCGGCACATCTGTTATACTTGCCACACACAATAGTAAGTGTGGACCGCTTTTGCAAGCCAGGTCTACAGCTAAGTGAATACAGGGAGCGTTCTTCCGTATATGGATGAGATCATTGTCATGGACAACGGCGTGGTGATCAATTCGGGCCCGTACAGTGAAATCCGATTGACAATGCCCGAGCTGGCAAGGTCTGAAGATTTCACGGATGAAAGCAACAACATAGACGTGGCGGGACAAGACGGTATCCAGAATGAATCGACCGCGAGTGCACTCAAGCTTCACCCAACAAACATCAGCAGCGAACCCGCAAGAGCTGGATCTGCAGCGGCGCCAAGGAAGCTGGTCTGTCTACGCGTATTATTGTCGGAGTGCTGGAACTATGCTCACCGTCTTTTGGGCTGTTTTTACCCTCGCCGGGGCTGTGTCCTCAAATTACATGAGTATACTCTCTACATCCCAGGAACGTATTGCTGCCCAAACCACTAACTTTATGATCAGCAATCTGGGTTGAAAGATGGTCGGACGCAAATAGCACCGCCCCTAACCAGCAACTCGGCTTGTACCTCGGCATCTACGCGATGTTGAGCGGGATAGCTACGCTTTGCACGGCAGGCGAATGCTGGTTTGTAAAACCATGGCACCATCCGAGGACGTTGGCTCAACTGACGATTGTTTGAAAGGATATTCATCATCGGCATTATCACGAAGACTGCACTACACCTACACATTGAGCTCTTGCATGCCGTTTTAGCGTACGTTGAAAACATTTAGCTTTCCCAGAACCGCACTAACGACGATTTTGCTCAGAGCGCCCTTCGCATTCTTCCAAAGCACCGACACCGGCTCCATCGCAAACAGGTATTGTACTGTCCTGTCCCTTCGCTCTTGGCTGGTCTCCCATCTCTGACAGACATCATGGACATAGGTTCAGTCAAGACATGGACCTCATTGACATGACGCTCCCCTCGAATGCCATTCAATTTACATCAGGTAAGTGTATTCTTGATTCCGTCTGGCAGTGCCACTCCATGTCGTCCCGCTTATTGAAACGTTGATGTGTAGCCGCGGCGTACTGCCTCGCGCAGCTGGTTATCCTCTGCGTTCTTGGCAAATACCTGGCAGCCGTGGTTCCTATCCTGGCCGCAGTCCTCTTCGTTGTCCAGAAAATCTATCTTCGCTCCTCTCGGCAACTCCGTCTCCTCGACATCGAAGCCAAAGCGCCCCTGTATCAGATTTTCATTGAGACGATTCGAGGCATTCCGACCATCCGGTCGTTTCACTGCCAAGACCTGTTTCACAGCAAGCACCAGGCGATACTCAATGACGCTCAGAAGCCGTTCTATATGCTGATGTGCATCCAGCAGTGGCTCGCCCTGGTGTTGGACTTGATTGTGGGCGCAATTGCGGTCACGATTGTTGTGATCGCAACATCCTTGTCTAACAGCATAAGTGCCGGTGCCATCGGCGTCGGCCTTGTCCTTATATTGCAGTTCAACGAGATGCTTACGCAAACGCTCCAATCCTGGACGAAACTGGAAACATCGATCGGAGCTGTTGCGCGGGTCCAGAAATTCGTCGCAGATACCCCTTCTGAACCTATCGGGACGGCGGTCGTGCCTGCTGGCTGGCCTGCGCGAGGGGCGATTAGTTTCAACAAGGTCGTTGCCGGCTACCCGTATGCGATGCATCCCCTTGCCACATGGTGGTGGCTGAAACCATTTCTTCTAGCCGTAGGGCGCTGACATGTCCTCCAGATCCAACGACAAGCTCATTCTGTCCGACATTAGCCTGCACGTTTCTCCCGGCGAGAAGCTCGCGGTTTGCGGAGCCTCAGGCAGCGGGAAGACGTCGCTCATCATGACGCTATTGCGCATGACGAACCTGCACCAGGGCGTGATAACCATCGACGACATGGACATTTCAAAGCTGGCCGGGAGCGACGTCTGTGCCAAGATCAACGTTGTTCCCCAAGAAGCGTTTTTCCTACCTGGAACCATCCGGTTCAACCTCGACCCCCAGGGGCGTGCGGCCGACGACGCTATCGAGGCTGCAATTCGCAGAGTTGGGCTCTGGGGGCGGATTCAGAGGGCGGAAGCGGGACTGGACATGGAACTGCTTGCGTCCGAGTGGTCCCAGGGCGAGATGCAGCTCTTGTGTCTGGCGCGGGCTCTGCTTGTGCCCAGCAAGATCCTGATCTTGGACGAGGCAACAAGCAGGTATGTACAAAGTTGTGCACACACCGTGCAACCGCCTTCTGGCGGCCTTGTTTTATCGAGAAGAGGCTGACGGTATTTGTTTGTACAGTGTCGACGCAAAAACGGAGGCGATCATGCAGGAGGTGATCGACAGCGAATGGCGTCAGCACACGGTCATCTCGGTGCTCCATCGGTTCGCGCACATCAATCGGTTTGACCGTGTAGCTGTTCTACGCTCCGGTCAACTCGTCGAATGTGACACGCCACAAGCGCTGTTGAGTCGCCCGTCTGAGTTCTTGGAACTGTACCGTGCGTACAACAGCGGATTCTAGCGACCATGCGAGGCCGATAGCCTGTTGGGAAGATAGGACCATTCTGTGATCTTTGTCTCACTTACATAGTAAATCTTTACAGTCACTTCGGTTAACATCCAACCCGAAGTCGACGGGGCCATAATATAGCGTCCTCAATCCACTCCCCTACCAGAGCTGGTAAAGGCCATGGTGGCCGATGAACTGAACGACAAGAACACCAAATTCAAGGGCGAGACATCAAGCTCAAAGGCGGCACGGCGGGCCTCGAGGGCGAGACCGAGGAGTTGGACAAGCAACGGGAAGGCAAACGACGTCGGACCGAGAGCTCGGAGGACAGCAAGTGAGAACGAGCGCCCGAGGAAGCAAACCGCCAACTTACCAGGGGAGCTCAAGGAAAGAGGAGATACCCGATTGTGTAACGACTGGTCCTCAAATACAAAAATACCAAGACCTAATTTTATCCAACCAACGCCTAGCATGCCATGCACAAAACCCTCACTCAGCTCTCCTTACATCAAAAGCAGACCACCACGCTTCGCCATATAAACCAGCCCCAGTGTGCCTGCGGCGACGACCCATCGCCCGTATATCCTCTTGAAATTTGTCCAGTGCTGCATCCTCCACTCCCTCTCCATATTCTTGAATGCTACCGCCTCGTTCAGGCGCGGGAACGGCTCGTCGGGCACCGGCTTACCCAAGAACTCACACAGCGGCCCCCACCCGTCCGCCAGCCGGAACTCCAGCACCTTCTCTTTGGGCACCATCTTCCTAACCATCTCATAATGCCACACATAGCGCTGCCTCGCGTTGGCCTTGGCCTCCTCGCCGGTCCGGGCGCCATAAAACCCCTGCAGGAGCTTCTTGCTGGCGGGCCCCGCGCAGGACCCGATCATGGGCTCGACGACCTCGATGAAGAAGGCGGGGACGGCGCCAAAGAACATGTCGAGCGCGGCGGCCGTGCTGCGGTACCAGGCGTCCATGTCGCGCTCGACGAGCACGACCTTGGCCTCCGGGTACGCCTCGATCAGCTGCGCGGCGAAGAGCGGCGCCAGGTCGGTCACCGCCTCGCACGGCCCGAACGCCGCGTCCCAGTCCGCCCGCGTGAAGGGCTTGCCCGTGTAGGTGGGTAGCGTCGGGAAGGTGGCGTCGGCGGCGCGGGAGAAGACCGCGAAGTCCGAGGGGTAGGTGAAGATGGCGTCGATGCCGTGGTGCACGTCTTGGTAGCCGAGGATGCGGTAGGCGGCGGCCATGGAGGCCGTGCCGGTTTTGGGCATGCCTAGGGAAAGGATCTGCATTGGCCTTAGGGGGCGGGATTCGCTGACTGGTGGCATGGTGAAGGTTCGTCTTGGAGTTATGTCAGCGCCCTGTCAAGTTGAGCTGGATCTTAGACGGAGGAGGGAGATAGGGAGGGAGAACTTGGGTCGGCGGGAGGTGATATACGACTCGGGATGTGTCCACCGATGCGGGAATTATGCCCTTATGTACTCGGAGCACTGGAGGCTAGAGCTGCGTCGGTATGAGCTGAAGGCATGGGGCGGGAATCGGGGTGCTCCCCCCCGAAATGCCATCTCACTGGGGTCCCATTGAGGCAAATCCCACTGCCCGGAGGATCGGGCTCGCTGATTCACGCAGGGGACCGGTGTCAAATCGGTCCCGTGGACCAGGTTCGGACAGCTCGCTGCCTTGCATCCTGGGATCAGGCTGTCAAAGCACAGACAGATGCCGCCTGGTACCGTGGGCCGGTGTCGGGGAAGAAGTTGAGGGCGCAGATGTGATTGGTTTCTCAAGCCAGGAAGCGGAAGGTCTTCGGTTATCTCATATTGCAGTCACAGACCAGGTGACCGTGCGCGGTAATTTTCTGGAACGCGGCGGGCTTCCAAAATTCCATTTCACGCAATTGTTGACCGGGAAGGTCAGCCACCTTCTACGCTAACAAGGGCACCTCGGAGACGCCGCTACTTGTGCATACAGGCGGTCAAAATCTTCAGCTTCCAGAACCTAACGTACTTAGTTAAGAGGCCCGAGAACGGTCTTGGAAAGGGACATCTTCACATGTTCCTCGAGCATTCTTTTGTGCAGGGAATGATAAAGATCACCAGAAAATTCCAGAATACTTGACAGGCTGACAGGATCGACATCCCCATGTTGGTGGGGTCGCATCAAATGGCGGAGCTCGACGCTGTTTGGCTGATGAAGCGAGATCTGGGACAGCAACACAGCAGTTCCGATCAGTCGGACCGGTGGGTCCGGCGGGTCGAGTGATGAGCACGGGCTCAGCACAGTTAACCACCCGCACCATCGGGCCGTGAGGTGGTGTGCTCAGGCAGGCAATCAGCCTAAAAATAGTTAGTCTGGTAGGAAGAAAAATTTGAGTATATAAATGTACGAATACGCCGAAAATGAAATTCGGATCGTCGTCGCCAAGCTGAAGTGGCTTCAAGTCTGAGTGATTTGTGGTCCGTTGAGTTCGGCTTCTCGTTGAGTCGTTGCTGTGTCCTGGCCGTCCCAGCAAGGCCCCCATACGCCAAGTGTTGACGTGTCTCGGCTCCAACGCTGGAGAGTGCTCACGTGCTGTCTGAGACAATGACGTTTCTGAGCCATAATCGGTGCGCGGTTTCTTGAAACCCCACGAAGGGTGGCTCGTGCGAGCTGATTTCCCCAATTGGATTTTATGTGCGACTGTCTCGGCATCGGCCCGAGCTTGCCTTGCTGTGTACTCGCCCCCATTAACGATATTCCCAACTTGCTACTTGCTACTTCGTACAATGCCCAATTCACTCACAGTTCAATTAGCCAACCGAACGAGCTCCCACAATGTGCACGCCTTCATCACCGGGCTGGCCATCCAGCACAACATGGCCCGAGTCTTCCTCAAACCCGACGGCAGAGACCTCTACTATCCCGAGTCACCACCGCCAGGCACCATCCTGCAGCCACTCACCCAAGACTGCGCTATCCCGCTTGGCCCCCCGGGAAACACCGTCACTGTGACCATTCCACAGATGGCTGGCGGGCGCATCTGGTTCAGCGCCGAAAAACAACTCACCTTCCTACGGAATCCAGGAGGGCCTGGCGGTGGTGCCGCCCTCGTCGAGCCGTCGGTCCTCAACCCGAGTGACCCCAATGCCGATGTTGACTTTTCCTTCTGCGAGTTCACCCTCAACAATGACCAACTATTCGCCAACATCAGCTACGTCGACTTCGTGCCTCGCTTGCCCATCGCCCTGACCTTGCAAATCAAGGACGGCGCCGTGCAGCATGTGAGCGGGATGGCCCCTGACGGCTTGGAGAGAGTGTGTGTCGGGTTGAGGGAGCAGACCGCCAGGGATGGCTGGCCATGGGACAAGCTCGTGGTGCAACCCAACGGACACGACAAGCCGTTGCGGGTGTTGAGCCCGACACACGGCAATGCGGTAGGCGCGAGTTTCGACGGGTACTTTGAGCCGTTGGTCGAAGCAGCGTGGAAGAAGTACGCGGCCTCCGAAGAACAACCACAATCACAATCACAACCACAGCAACCAGAGACGGCCAAAAAACACCGCCTCCGCCTCTCCCTCCTCCGGCGCAAGCCCAACCCCAACCCAGCATCACCACCCCCACCAACCCTCCAACCTCAATCCACCACCACCACCACCACCACCCTCCGCATCAACACCCAAGCCGCCGCCGGCATCCTCACCAGCCACAACCCCCCCTCCCCCACCAACCCCCTCCTCCACATCGGCCCCGAAACCTTCACCCGCCCCAGCACCTTCGACATCCTCGGCTGCAACAGCGGGCCCTTCACCACGGGCGCCTCCCCCACGCGCAACGCCATCATCCCGCGCCTGGCCGCCGCCTTCCAGCGCGGCTGCATCGTCGCGACGGCCGAGCACCCGTCGGAGCCGGAGACGTTTTATGTCGGTGACGGGCCGGTGAATCATTATGCAAGAGTGGTGCATGAGTGTAATTTGGATGGGAGGGGGTATGCGTTTGCGTACGATGATGTGCAGGTGGATGGGGGGAGGGATCAGAGTGGGAAGGTGGAGGCGGGGGAGCCGGCCGTTTTGGTGGTGGCCGTGGGGGGGAGGGGAGCTGGGGCGTAGGCGTGGGGGATGGGTCGGTGTGGAGGGGGTTTGAGTTGTTTGGGTTGTTTGTTTGTTGGAGTGGGAGGGGGATAAGGGGTAAGGTGAGACGGGTGAGATGATGGCAATGCTTCCGATCTTGGGAGCTCGCGTGAGGTCATGCAGGGCCGAGCAGTCATCAAGATGTTGTGTCCCCCACAGCCGAGGTTGAATCAAAAGAAGGAGGGGGGCTTCGGTCGAGCGAATGTTTTGCAAGGTCGAAGGTCGAGTAACACGGGTGAAGGACTAAGGTGTTTTTGCCTGGACGTTAAAAACAGCGACATAACATTAATTGGTATGTTATAGGCTTATTCGCAAACCGGATGAACAGTGGCCTCCGTGGCGGCTTGGTAGCGGCCAGGCAACAACTTGAATTCTTGCATGAGTAGAGATGGCATTGATGGTTCTCAGCCGTGGGGCCCAAAATAGTACACACCGCCTCACGGCAACATGGACGAGAGTGAATCTAACCCTACGACGGTTCGCAATCTCTCTCAAAGACAGAGGAGGGGCTTAGCAGCAAAGTGTCAGCAACGACTGACAATAGTATCAAACACCTGCCACGATGAATCATTGGAAGTGCCTCGGCCGTCTCATTGAACCGTGATGCAAGATATTCTTTGCCCAATCACCTATTGCGGTAGCCATTCGCACCAGAGAACGGCGGAATATGACACCGATACGCCCAGTTTGGGGCCCAGCCGTCAATATTGACCGCCAAGCTCCCTCGGCTGCAACCCATTCATAGGACGGGAGCAACCCCAAGCCTTTTAGGGTTCAGCTCGGTAGTGGTGCTTACTGGAGCATTGTTTGTGCCAACCTTCCCCGGATTTTCCTACCAGCAGCCCTGGCTCCGCCACAACGGTTTTGAGGCCTCGGCTTACCTATCGCCCGCCTCGCGCCGCACCATCTCCCCGGTGGCGCGGGCTGCTACCATGGTTGGGTGAATGGGTTGCAGTGCCTGATCTAAACCAAGACCATGACACGGGCGCGGCGCAACTTGAGCCAACGACAACGGGTCAACGGCCTGTTGACGCTGTGATGAGAGTCTAATTTCCAATGTTGGACCGGCCATGGTTGAGGTGTAAGTCTCGTGGAAAGACTGCCCGAGCTGATGATCTCTCCTTACATTCCTGCGCAAGAGTGTGTGGACATCCGCACACGTTGGGCAAGAAGTTGGACGAGAAATGAATATTTAAAGGGTCGGTTGCCCCCGACTTGAAGCAGAATATTCACCAGCATCAACATCCACATCTCCAGCCCTCATAGCAACAACTCCAGCCTCAGCACCAACAACTCCAGCCTCGACACCAACAACCACCTCTTCACACACCAAACCCATCAAAACCAGCAACAGTGAGTTACCCCACGAGTCCAACCCTCACTCCACAACCGAACCTTCACTAACCCACCCCCTCAGAACCAAAACCGCCACCATGAAGGCCAGCAGCATCTTCCTCGTCGCCCTCCCCCTCGTCTCCGCCTGGAAGCTCGAGCTCTGGGCCACCGGCGGGCGCCATGTCACCATGAGCGGCACGCGGGACAGCGGCTGCAAGGACATCTCCTTCACGCCCGTGCTCAACGTCAACAAGGCCAAGCTCAACCCCTCGACCTCTCTCTACCCCGACCCCAAGACGTTCGAGCTCTATGTCAACAAGGGCTGCCGCGGCCTCAGCTACCGCAACGGCAAGGGAACCCACAAGATGAGTGCCCGCAAGATTCGCAGCTACAAGGTCTACTAAAGCCGACACTGCGGATTTGTCTGGCTGTATATAACCGGATGTGATGGAGTTGGGCGGAGGATTAAAGGGGTGTATATGGGACGGGAAAGGGATCGACGCGGGATTGGATTGGGTTGGGCTTGCTTTCTGGCTTGGTTTTGGGTTTCGTCTTGATTCACTTCTTGATTTGGTATCTGGCTTGGTTTTAGATTGCACACTCGTTCAACGTTTTGCGGTTTCAATGTACATGGTTCGCGAATATACAGTCCGATATCACTCCGCCGCCGCTGCCAAAAGCTGTTCCTTGTTGTCCTCAACATACTTCCGCAGATCCGTCAGTTTCAGTCCCCGCTGGTAGTTCAACGTCCTCTCCATCTCCCACGACACTCCAACCCCCGCCCCAAACGCATTCTGATACTTCAGCATCAGGTCCTCCGGCTCCTCCTCCAGCCTCTTCCTCAAAAACTCCCGATCCCACAACTCCCGCTTAAAACCCCCTCCAAACCCCGCCTCCACCACATCCGCCACCTCCCCATACGACAGCGTATCCCCCGCCACATACACCACCCTATCCTCGGTCCCCTCCGGCTCGAACACCACCTCGGCCACCGCCCTCCCAATCCCCTCCACATCCGTCACCGTCACCGTATTCCCCCACGCCCCCAACTCCCTAACCACCCTCCCCCAACTTTCTGCGCATGAGAAGGACAGCACCCCCGAAACCATCGTAGACGGGCCTAGCGTTCCCGACGACCACCTGGGCG